ACACACACACACACACACACACACACACACACACACACACACACACACACACACACACACACACACACACACACACACACACACACACACACACACACACACGAATCAGACGCTGCATGACGATCTTGTGCGACACGAGAAGCGGGCAATGCGACGTGCGCACATCATCGGGATGCTTGTGTGGGCGGTGCTCATGGGACACACGTACATGGCAGAGGTGAGGCGACTGAACGTGTACATGCGTATGCCTTGACAATGCAGAGGCCTGCTCGCTGTGCGCTTTGTCAGTGATTAGTATCCCCCCCAACACACACACACAACACACACGCACTCTCTCTCTCGCTCGCACACACACACACACAATACATACAATACACACACACTACACACACACACACTCTCTCTCTCTCTCTCTCTCTCTCGCTCGCACACACTCTCTCGCTCGCACACACACACACACACACAATACACACAATACACACACACAAAACACACACGCAAAACACACACGCAAAACACACACGCAACCCTCCCCTGCCCTCCTCTGCCTGCTCGTCAGGGCCGGCGGGCCATTCTGCCGGTGTTCCTGTCGTACTACATTGGCCTGGCGCTGGCAGCCGTATCCCCATATGTCGGATACAGCGGGATCGTCCGATACTATCGTCAAGTCGTGAAGTCCTCTTTCTTCGTCGTTGCGTGACAGGGACACGATGATGTGTGGGATTCGTTTGCTTTGTCTATTCGTGTGTGTGTGTGTGTGTGTGTGCGTGTGTGTATGTGTGTGTGTGTGTGTGCTTGTCAGTTTGCTTGTCAGTTTGCTTGTCAGTTTGCTTGTCAGTTGCTTGTCAGTTTGCTTGTCAGTTTGCTTGCTTTTGTGTTTTGTTGTGTGGTGCATGAACGTGTGTGGCGGCACGCCATGCATTCACATATTACACGCCACATCTCCTTAGCTTCCTCCCATTTCCCCCTCTGCTTGTCTCTCCCCCAAACTGCTTTACAACTGCCGTGTTATCACTTCCCCATCTTTCCTTCCTCTCTCCCCCGTTTGCTTTGCGAAAAGTGTTTGCATGACGAAACGTAAATGCATGCGCCACGTGACGCGAAGCGCTGTGATGTGAAATAGCTTACAGAGGTGGGCGCAGTGCTCGGAAGAATTGAGCAAAAGAGGAGAGAGTGGAATGACAGGAGGGAAAATTAGCGGCTATCACGTGCAAACATGCTGGCCTATGGACAGCAAATATCAAATAACAATAACACCGCACAGCATCACCGTGCTGACGATGATGACGAGGCCACACTTCAGCAGCTCAAAACACTAATACGCTAAAACGCCACGTGTTGCACAAACGCCACGTGCCCACGCGTTGCACACACACACACACAAGCACGCACAAACACAAGCACAAGCACACACAAGCACACACACGCACACACACACACACACAAGCACTTCCGACTTCACAGGTTCTTGACAAAAGCTGCGATGGTGTTGGCAATGGGCTCTGCGCTCACGTGTAGGTTCTGTTCGCGCACACACGGGCGCACCTTTGGGTGATGCGGAAAGGCTGATGAAAGGGAGAATATTGGTTGGAATGGGGGGGGGGGAAGCAAGAGCATGCAGGGAGTGGGGTGATGGGAACAGCGGGTAAGTGGGCGGTAGGCTAAGGCGGCAGGTAGACGAGGGCAAGAAGGGGCACAAGCACACGCACACACACTCTCTCTCGCTCGCATACACACATACACACGCACACATACACACGCACAAGACACACACGTGCAAACACACACGCACACAAGACACACACACACACACATACACACACATGCAAATACACACACACATGCAAACATACACACACACACATGAACGCAAACGAAAAAGCTTCACACTGCACATGTGCCCACCGTTGTGCTTTGCGAGAAAGTTGATGGTTTCCTCGCCGGATCGCCAATATTCGCGCTCGGCCTCCTGTGTGCATGGAAGCAGTGCATGCAGGCAACCATACGACGTGGTGCGTCAGCAGAATGGAGCAATGACACTCCAACGATGGGCACAACACAAGTTGCACGCAGACATGCATGCATGCGACCATCCATACACACCTACACACGACACATGCCAACAACACATGCCACGAAGGCCTATAGATCGCTCCAACTCACCAGCCAAGCGTCCATGATGGCATTGGTTTCGTTCACGAGGACCTGAAGCGGTGGTGACGCGCACGGTAGTGATCATTGAGACGCCACACGCATGACAACGGTGAGGAACACGAAACACGCAATCACAAGTTGGACAAAGCACACACACACACATACGCACATACACATACATACACACATACACACATACACATACACACATACACACACGCACACACACCTCGGGTGAGGAATGATGCATGCAGGCAAAGAAGCGGGTGGTATCTGGCTGCGTCTGGATGGGCTTGTACTTTGCGCCAATGAGGCTGTGGTGAAGGGTGAAAAATGATGGACTGTGAGAGGCAGAAGAGGAACTCAGTCAATCGGAAATCATTCATACATGAGTAGATATTCTTTACACACACACACACACACACACACACACACACACACACGACCCCTGCTCACCGGGCGATGGTGCTGTACTGCCGCGGATGGTATGCAAAGGGGAAGACCTCGATGGCGAGGGCGTTTGGGCGAAGAAACAGCCAGTTGGTGTTGGCGGCGCCATGTGCCGATATGACAGCGGTGGCCGCGTTAAACAGCGCAATCTGCGCAGAGAGCGATTTCGTCTCCAAGTGTTCCTCCACGATCACCTGCAGCAGAGGGAGAGGGGAGGATGCAGGGAGGAAGGGAAGGAATGGCAGAAGGTGCGTGAGTGTGGACGGGCGTAACGGAATCGTGAGCGTGGTTGAAGAAGCGCAATTGGTGTCAGACATGACGCCGACGTATGTATGTGCGTATGTGTTTGCCGTTGAATCGCTCAAAAGACCTCTCCTTCCAGCAAAACGGTAGCAAAACGACACGATGCTTCCCTTTCCCTCCTCTGCCCCGAGGCCCCTCATCACATCCCATCCCAACCTCGTGGCTGATATTGAGTGCAGCGAGCGTGGCCCGCACCGCACCGGCAATGGCATCAACACCCAATATGGACCGCCCGCTGCTCGCTGGTCGGTTGACAATGACCACCCTCATCGCTGCTGGCGACGACGCTGATTTAAGAGACGCAAGGCTGATGGCTGCATGCGCGCGTGTGTGTGTGTGCGTGTGTGTGTGTGCATGCGCGCGCGTGTGCGTGTGTGTGTGTGTGCGTGCGTGTGTGTGCGTGCGTGTGTGTGTGTGTGTGTGTGTGTGTGTGTGTGTGAAGGACGTAACACCAGGATGAAGCAGCGATGGCGATGGCGGTGTCGGGGGAGGAGGTGGTGAGGTTACAGGGACACAAGGAAGGATGCTGTGTACGCGACCAATGGAACAAGCACACAAAGGCGAGCGGGCGCAAAACCACAAGAATACATTGTCCGAGTGCCTCATCCACAAACACATCAAACCAACTCATCACATCACAACGCGCGCGCACACACACACACACGCACGCATGCACGAAGACACACATCACATCACACCACATCGCGCGCGCACTCACGCAGCCACCATCACGCCTCACGTGCTCTGTCGATGTTGTGGTCGGCAAAGAACCCGGTCTTCGCATCGAGGGTGGTGGGCGGCAGGCGGTGGAACGGCGTGTTGCTCGACAGCAGGCTGACGGTACAAAACGGAAGTGGAGCATTCGATAAGGAAGTGATGATAGTTGCAATGGTCATGATGTAGTGTTGATGGCGGTGGTGGTGGTGTTGTTTGCAGGTGGAACGATTGGTGTGTGACAAGGAGGTCAACAATGTGTCAATGAAGCACATGGAGTGTTGACGCGGGCACGATGATTAGTTTCATGTGTGCAGCGAGCGGTGAATGCCAGCAAAAGCACTAGCAGCCGACATCGACTCGCTTCAGACGTACATGCACGAAACATAAACAGCACATGCATACCCGTTGAAGCAGTAGAGGGCGTTTGGGCGCCAACGATGCGTGAGTGTTTGAAACCGCAGGAAGCGGCGGGACAGCAGCTGCACGTCAGCATTGCAGTTGGTGAACGATGATGAGGGGGGATGGTGACGATGATGTGAGGAAGGAAGGAGGGAAGAGATGTCGAGAAATAGATTTACACACACGTACACACACGGCACATGCACGCACACACACACACATACAAAATAATCACAAAACCACCGTTCACTCACATGCATAAACTCGGCGGACCACACGTCGCTCAACTCCACGTCCACCAGCAGCGCTGGAATCCAAGTACACATGATTGCATGCAGGCAAGTTGGTAGAGTCAGAAGGCACATGACAAGAAGCTGCGTAGGACAACCAAACACCAAACAAGAAGATGGAACAGACACAGTGTCCACACTTCCTGTCCAGTGGAGTCATCCCAACTCACACATACACACATGAATGATGTACGCCAAAACACACTCACACACACACACACACACACACACACTCACTCACTCACTCACACACTCACTCACACATGTTGTGAAGGTGCACGTGGGCACAGTCTCCGTCAGGAGTTGACGATGCTGACGATGGCGGCGGCTTTGTGGTGGTGGACCCGCGGCGAAGGCAATGCATTATACGGTGCGGCGTGTGCAGTGCTGATGATGTTGATGAAGATGATGAGGGGGAGTGCGTTGGTGCTGCGGTGCCGCCGTATTCGTAGAGAAGATCGTAGGCATCCAGCAGCCACAGCACGTCTGACACGACACACACACACACAAGCGCACGCGCACACATATGCAGTTGGGTCATGTGAGAGGTAAAGGAGGCAACGAGCACGTGCACGTGCACGAGCGTGCTGCAGCGCAGCTGCATGCCTGCAGGCAAGCTTACCAACTGCAAAATGGGGAAAATGCCAGTTTCGCGCCCGCTTCCAGCCAAGCAGCGTCGTGTCTGTGCGCGAGGACCGCATCGCACGACAGCGAGGTGGGAACAGCGAACAAGGATGTACACAAGGCACCCTCACAGAGACGCAAACACACACACACACACACACACACACACACACACACACACACACACACACACACACACACACACACACACACACACACACACACACACACACACACAAGAAGACAGACAAGCAGGATAGACGCCAGACGGACAGGCATGCCCACACTCACGCACATATGCTCACGTGCACACACACGCACACCCCGCACACCCCGCACAACAAGTTGTTCTCACTTGTGAGGTCGACGACAGGGGCTGTGCTGAGTGCGGCGGAGGAGAGGGCGGGGAGAGACGTGTTCACATCCACACCGCACTGGCGCAGTGCCGACACCTGAGCAGGACGAGGAGAGAAGAGTGATGAGAGGTGGCACAGTTGATGAGGCCAGGGCGTCAACGGGAGCAAAACAAGGAAAGCAGATCAGCACTCTCTCGGCACACACACACACACGCAGACACACACAGACACGCACAGACACACACAGACACACACGCACACACGCACAGACACAGACACACACAGTCAAACACACACACACACACCTGAGAGCTGGTGAGGGGCGGAAAGTGAAGCTCGCCCTGGTGAACACACACGGGCGGCGTGAGGCAGGTGGGACGCCGCGACGAAGCTGTGTTTTGGGCATAAGACCAGCAAGGGAGCAGTGAGTGCAAGGGAGATGAACGGACCGAGAGCAACAGATGAGACACACATGCAATGCAGGAACCATACTTATTTCTCCTCCCCCACCCACCCAACACAAACACGTACATACACCTGCAGCACCTGTGTCGCTGTCGGTCCACACGATGAGAGGGCGGTGCAATTCTCGGCTGAACCGGGCTCGTGACAGCGGCGGTAGTGGAGGTGGTGGCCGCCTGCGTGGCCCACACAGTGTGCGTGAGATGTGCTTGCATGCAACGAAAACTTCGTGCAAACGCTGCACGGCCACACAGATGTACAGATGTACACACATGTACACAGATGTACACAGATGTACACAGATGTACACACTAACACAAGCACACAGGCGCGCACAAACACACAAACGAACACACACACACACACACACACACACACACACACACACACACACACAAACGAACACACAAACATACTTCTTCTGATCGTAGCAGATGCATTCGGTGCAGTCAGGGGGAAACACGGCTGCTCGGCGAGAGAAGCCAGTGTCAGGATCAACCACAGTCGCTGGAAACAGGCATCCAATGGCAATGGCAACACAAACGATGTCAGATCCACATCAACGGATGGGTTGCCCACAAGGTATCAACGCACGTGACATTCACGCACGCATGCATGCATGCATGCATGCAGGCAAGCACATTAACAAGCCAAGACGCAAGCCACCCAACCGTGTGAACACCGTGGGCCGGCACACTCTGAGGTCGCTCCACACGTGCACACGTTCCTGTATGTGGAACAACAGAGGGAGAGAGAGTGTGTGTGTTGTTGTTGTTGTTGTTGTTGTTGTTGTTGTTGTTGTTGTTGTTGTTGTTGTTGTTGTTGTTGTTGTTGTTGTTGTTGGAAGATGAATTGAAACGGACAGAGGAGAGGTGACCAACGCAGGCAAAGAAGCTTGTGTAACTGCTAACGGCCAAACATGCTTGCATGCAGGCACACGCGCATGTACACAGACGGACAGACACACACACACACACACACACACACACACACACACACACAAACACTCTTGTGTACCTGTGGTTCACTTTGTGCATCAACGACTTCTTGGGACACGTTCTCCGTATTGCTCGCCGCCTTTGCTCCACGCGCCTTGTCTTGGCTATTGCAGTGGTTGACTGAGGCACCCCAAGACGCGCTCGGTCTGCATCCGTGACATCGTGTTCAACCCCACTGCATCGAAACGAAGCATTGTGGTCAGAGAGAGAGAGCTGGTTCAGTGAAGAGGTCTTGAGGTTGAGGTTGCTGACAACAGAACAACACGGCAGCGCCTATCGCCCACGACAGCGCAACAACATGCCACACACAAAACCAAAGCGCGCACCTGGCCCCAGCGAAGACGAGGAGCACGAGAACGACGCTCGCCGCCAGCACAGGTCGCATTGCCGCACAGAGCAAGCACAACACAGACACGCTTGCTTCTTGCTTGTCTTGTCCTTCCTTTGCCTTCCTTCCCAGCGTCATTGACGCTCGAAAATTATGAACACTGCCGACAGATCGCCAACAATGCCCCATGTGTTGTTCCCTGCTTTTCACCACCCTCAACACAACAACACACCAACACACCACCAACACTCAGCCGAGCGACACTCTTGCGTTCTTGCTCTCTAGCGGTCTAACACTGGAGCACTGCTTTTCTCAATTAGACAACTTCTCTCAGCTCCATGATTTGATATTGCTCTCACGTGACAGCAATCTTGCTTGTTCTTTTGATTCAATGCTTCAATGGCTTCCACGCACAGACGCACACGCATACAGGCACACACACGCTCGAGTCATTGCTCATACTGTCTGAATTGATCAGGCCTGGACGGACAGAAGACTAGAAGAGCGCCAACACCATCAAAGCCTCAAGCAAAGAACGTCAGGCGAACTGACACGAAACGAAGCACTGAAGATGGTGTTAAACGAAGGCACAATGCACAGTCAAACACGAGCACCAGGACCCCACTTGCAAGCTCGGGTTTGATGAGGATGACGGGCAAAGCACCTCAGAACAAGCACGCGGTGTGATCGATCATACCACGCAGTCACACGGCAAGCAACCACACCCGGTCGGGCACACACAACACACAAGCCCACGTGGTAGACACACACACACACCTTCACACATGCACACATGCACACATAAACAAAACAAGCGAGCAGCAGCAACGAGGACAAGCGCCATCATAGAGACCGAAAGCACAGAGGCGCACGTGGTCCATACAGTGCCACGATTGTGCGAACAGAACACACCCACCCAAGTCAGCTCACGCACAAGTTGGCCCGATCACCAAGAAGGCGGCAGCATAGCCCGTTGTCGAATACACAGCACCATTGTCAGCGGTGCGGGCTAAGCCGCAGTATTTGACAGGCGAGGATTCTTCCGTGACTTCCAGGGTTGTTGGGTTCACAGCGAGGATGGTTGAGGCACTCGACGGGACCATGTACAAGAGGCCATCTGAAGCAGCAGCGCCACCGAGCCACTTGAAGGTGCCAGAGCTGATGTCGGTGATGCTCGTCGTGTCGACGCTGTCGTCGCTAGGATCCACAATGAGCACGTAGGTGGCATCCGAGGGAACGCCAAAGAGGAGGCCATTTGGTGCTGCAACAAGATCTGCGAAGGCTTTGTCGAGTGCTGGGATGGCAATGGTGGAGACGGCGTTCGTGTCGGGATCGATGACGAGGATATTGTTGCTGCTCCACGGCGCCATGAAGATGCGACCATCAGCTGCCACCTCGGCACCAGCCCACTTGTAGGTGACGCCTGGTGCGTAAGCAGACACGTCGATGCTGGTGTCTGTGGTGCCTGTGGCAGCGTCGATGATGAGCAGCTCCGATGCACGGAATGGTGTGCCGTAGACCTTGCCGTTGACGGCAGTGGCCCCTCGGTAGCAAGCGCTGGAGCAAGACGTTGAAAAGGTAGTGGTGCTAATGCTGTTGTCACTGGTGTCGATGACAAGCGCGATGTTTTTCAAATGATATGGGACGCAGATGGCGTATCCGTTGGAGAATGCGCCGCCGTACCAGTTCAGGTTCGTGCCGTATGCAGACACATCAATGGCTGTTGCGTTGACGCTGTCGTCGCTGGGATCGATGGTCATCACATACGTCGCTGACCCAGGGCACGCATAGCCAATGCCGTTGGAAGCGAACATGACGTCTGTCGATTCAGACTGTCCACTCGTTGCAGTGCCCGCCGTTGCGACAGTGGTTGCGCAGGTGGTGGTGGTCGTAGTCGTGGTAGTGGTCGTGGTTGTCGTGGTAGTGGTAGTAGTTGTCGTGGTCGTAGTCGTCGTAGTGGTCGTTGTCGTAGTTGTCGTAGTAGTCGTTGTTGTTGTGGTTGTTGTTGTCGTCGTTGTTGTTGTGGTAGTTGACGTGAACACGACATCGCAGTCGACATCAGCTGTGCTGAACGCGCACATCTGACTACGTGTATGTGTGTGTGCGTGCGTGTGTGTGGGAGGCGTGCGTGTGTGAGAATACTCGTACGCAACCACAGAGCATGAACATGGTCCGTAGGTCCGCATGCGGTACTCGAGTAAGGCAGGTGGCATGAGCGAAACAGATGGCAACATTGCAGACAAAGTCATACATGCCCTTTACAGCTCGTTGCATGAACCAACACTTTGAATGACAGGATCTTACTAGCAGAAGTAGATTGGATGGGTTTCATCGCGCGTGGTGGTGCCCGTCACTTCGTCGCAGTCTGCCAGGCAGACTCCCAACGCCACAAACGCGCCGCTGCTGTGGTGTGATCTGGCTGTCATGCACTCTGCAAAGACGTCCCGCCCGTTTCCCGTGTCCAGCGACGCCTGTATGTGTATGTGTATATGTGTGTATATGTGTGTGTATGTGTGTGTATGTGTGCGTGTGTGTGCGTGTGTGTGTATGTGTGTGTATGTGTGTGCGTGAATAGCTTGCACAAGGACCGGCAGCAGTGATCGCGTGATGCCAAGACACAACAATGCTGCAGGACTGCAGACGAAGGACGAAAGGACAAAAGGCATGTAAACTGTGTGCCAGCTGCCAAACAACGTTCTGTCCGACGCACCTTGCCGATGCACAACTGCACACTGTCTTCGCAGTCATAGTCACAAGGCGGTGCAGTTGTTGTTGTTGTTGTGGTCGTTGTCGTTGTCGTTGTAGTTGTTGTTGTTGTTGTTGTTGTTGTTGTTGTTGTTGTTGTTGTTGTTGTCGTAGTAGTGGTGGTGGTTATTGTGGTTGTTGTGGTTGTTGTGGTTGTTGTGATTGTTGTTGTTGTGGTCGTTGTGGTTGTTGTCGTTGTTGTTGTGGTTGTCGTCGTGGCCGACACCTCCACCACAGACACGACGGTGCAGCGGTTGAAACGAAACTGCGCAGTCTCTGCGCAAATCGCAAGGTCTTCCGCATGGGCAGCATTGAGGGCGGTGGTGCGGAAGGTGGATCCATTGATCACTTGCAGCGACTCTGCCGTGTCGCCATAGTACCGGCACAACTGTGCGTGTGTAAGTGTGTGTGCATGTGTAAGTGTGTGTGTGTGTGAGCGGAGCGAGCGAGTGAGTGTGTGTGTGTGTGAGTGAGTGAGTGAGTGTATTCTTGTGTTGGTACATGCATTCGCAGCTGACAATGCGCATGTGTGCGTTTATGCTGTTGTGGCGTCAGTGTATGAGAGAGAGAGAGAGAGTGTGTGTGTGTGTGTGTAGTGGTTGTATGTGTGTGAGCCATCACAGCGTGGGGATGAAGCGACCTCCACACAGACACAGACACAGACATACACGCACACACCCGTCCAGTGATGCCGCAATCATCGCTCAGGGCCTGTTTCCAGCGCATGGCAAACAAGTCCAAATCTTCCTCGCTACGTTCGTCCAGTGGAAGCCCACGACTGCAGTCAACTTGCACCTGTGCGAGTGTGTTTTGTGTGTGTGTGTGTGTGTGTGTGTGTGTGTGTGTGTGTGTGTGTGTGTGTGTGTGTGTGTGTGAATAAGAAATAATGAAATGGGGTGGGTTCTGTTTGGGGTCATGAGGGGATTCGTGCAGGGTGGCCAATGACAGCAATACAAAAGGCAGCGGAAATAGTCTATTCCCGCCCGCATGAACAGAGGCACCAACCTCCAACGTGGTGTCGAAGCTATTCTGAGTGCAGTTGGTCACGGCAAAGCATCCGTTGAAGGTCGTGTCGTTGCACCGATACACCCTGAGGCAGTCTGCACAGGATGTTTTGCATGCAGCCACGTGTGATGAGGACGAAAGAAGGACAACTGAAGTGGAACAAATGGCGGAGCGCAAGCGGTAGAATGCCTCAAAAGTATGCGTGTGCGCACACATACCCAAGAAGTACACTTGCGCACGTAACACATGGAACACACAACGCACATATGTACACGCGCACACACACACAACGCACAACACAACACACACAGACAAGACGTACCACCGGTATCGCAGGTGTCAAGCTGGTCGCACTGGCAGGAACCGCCAAGTGTGCAACGTGAGCGGGAGATGCCGGTGGCTTGGCCGCTCTCAAAGTAGTAGCCAACAGCAGACGCGGTCAGCTGGCTGCAGCTTGTCGTGAGGGCCTACACACAGCAACAGGTGCACCAAACAACACAAGGCAGTTAGTTGCTGTCTCGCGTGAGTAGGAGTTGAGCTACAAAAGGAAAAGGGTCGCACGCGCACACCTTTTCCACACGCCTGCATTTGCACCATCAAAGAACCAATGCATGTCGCATGTCATCCCGTCCGTTGATTTTCACTTCACTACACAACACGAGCGTCTCCCTTCTCTTCTGCTGCTGCTGCAGCGGCGGTGTCGTACCGTTTCATCGAAAAACTCCGAGGCGGTCAGCTCATCTCCGAGGGTGACGGCCTGTCACAACAAGCACAGGGGAAAGCGGAAAAGCAGAACGGCAGTCAACGCAATGATCCTGAGCAGTACCGCGGTTGAGAGAACGGCTTCGGCACGCACAACCCAAAAAATCGACGCCCATGGCACGCGATGCGAAGCAAACAGACTTTGTTTCCTCTTCCTTCATTCAACCATACGCAGGACACAAGGACAGCCAGGCAGGGTAGTGGCGCACTGGTACGTGGCCATCGCGATAGTGGGCGTGCCAGGTCTTCCTCGACCACTAACCCCAAGGGTCGCAGAAGGAAGGGAGGCGACTGTGAGTGCCGCCAGTGCCAGCGCAACCAGCATCAGCGGGGATCCCATGGTGGTGGTTTGTGGATATGTGTGGATGTGCGTGGATGTGTGTTTGTAGGTTTGTGGAGGGAAGTTGGAAGATGTGTGCTTGTGCTTTGTGTGTGCAGGTGTGCGAAGAAAATGAACAGCACACCTGGCACACGCTCAGTCCACAACAAAACAGACAACAGACAAAAACCAAAGGCACGCAGTTGTGGCGAGAGACGACACGCAGGAGACACAACAGCTCCAACAAGCCCACAGGCAGCGTGGCACTGTTCCTCGACAACCGTCATGTTGTCATGTTGTCGTCGCGAAGCACCTTCCCTCGGCAACCAAGCTCGGCCATGACGTGCCGAGTTCACATGGTTGTGCGTTCATACCGCACACAAAACAACCAAAAACACAGAAGAGAGAGACCCAAAAACCGCACCAAAAACAATTGCACACTGGTTTTTGAACGCCGTGTCATGCATGCATGCAGAAAATTCATGGGTATTTCCCCCAAGCACACACAACGCGCCAAATCCATGCTGCCCCGTTCAAAAACACCCAAAGTTTGTTGTTCGCCACAATGTGAACACAGTCACATCTCACGCCACGCGCACATCACATCACCGTCACATCACCGTCACATCGCGTGACAGCATTGCAAGCACGCATCACTTGCATGCCGACAGACTTGGCAACGGAACAGTTTGCGACGCGCTCGCGAAGGTGCGAGGCAATGCGCTCTGTGCGCGCGCTTAGCTTGTGTTGCTGCTTGAGGTTGTTGGGAGTGTTAGGGAGTTTACGACACACGACCGCAAGCGAAAAAAAGCAAGAGAGAAACCAACAACGGCAAAAGCAAGGCACAGACAGAGACAACCTCACACGGTACATGGCTGCAGGCAGATGGAAGAATTCACAACACAACCATGTGCTTACACACAAACACATAACAAACACAAACACACACACACACACACACACAATCCCTTCACAACGAACACGCTGCACGGAACCCCCCCCCCCCAACGCACCCTCATCAGCAATCTGCGTCGGCGTCATCGTCTTCCATCTGATCCTCAGCTAACCACCGCTGCACCGACTTCAACGCAGCCTTGTTCTTCTGATTTGCTTTGATGGTTGAACTAGACACTTCCGTGTCTGGCGCCGAAAGCTCCATTGCATCATCGTCAAGGTGCAGCGCCTGCAACTCGCCTTGCGCAGTTGCCGCCATGGTGGCGGGCTTCTTTTGCTTCTCGCTGGCGTTGCCACCACCGTGTCCAAAGTGCAGGCTCAGAGCCTGTGCGGCCTTGAAGGGCGCCGTTGACGCTCGTCGGAAGTTGTGCAAACACAAAAACACAGACGGGAGCATGTGGTTCAGCTGGCGATACAGTGTCGCCTTGCACAGTGCCTGAGTGGTCTCATCCAGCAAGCCAGCTTGACGCAGCACTTCCACAGAGCACCATGGTTGGGTATCGTACACGAGGTCGTACATGCATTGAAACAGCCCTTGCACGTCATCACTGTAGTCACACGCATCGCCACAGGTGCTGCTGCTGCTGCAGTCGCCGCCACTGTGTTCCATGGCATGCATCAGCGCTGGCATTCCTTGGCGTAGCACAGCCTTCCATTTGTCAGTGACGTTGTCATGTCCTCCACCGACACCAGTGTGCGCCAACCAATACCCACCCGTCCACTGGCTGAGGAACTTGCCGATGGCGTTCCTCTTGTCGGCGCTTAGCTGCTGCCACTCATCACTTGTGCACTGCTGTTTCTTCACTCGCACCTGGCTCAACTGCAGCGCAGGCAACAAGCAGCGCGCCGCCACGTCGCTCGGGTCATGGTCCTGGAACAGGAAGACGCCGCCGCCTTCTGCTGTGCGGAGGTAATCATCCGCGCTCACGCGTTGTGCTGGTGCCTTGCGTGTAAGCCGCACAACGGCGTACTTGGCCGCTTCCTGAAACGCCGCCTCTGCACCCTCGTTGACAACGCCAGCCATGGCGCTGGTGGTGGTACTGGTGGTACTGTCGCTGCTGCTGCTGGTGGGGGTGGTGGTGTTGCTGACATTGCCACGCATGCGGATGAATGCAATCACCTGGCCAAACGCAAACATGTCTGCTGACTTTGACCTTTGGCGGTGATGTGGGGCAACAGCACGCTGCTCTGGTGCCAGCCACTCCTGACCACAATCCATGCACCCAACACCCAGCCCGTATGCAGCCAGCTTTGCACGGTACACGCTGCTGCTGGGTACGCTCGCCCCAACCTCCTGCGGACAGCACAGCACGTGATGTGCGCATAGGCTGCCGTGCGTGAGCTGACGCGAGTGCAGGAAGTGCAGTCCGTGAGTGATGCCACGGATGAGAGAGCGCAGCGCCGCGTGATCAAGGGAGGACAAGATATCCGGCGACAACGGGCGCGAGTGACATGGCACGCGCGCTGGCAGGAAGGAAATGTTGAGGCTGCTGTCGTGCTGAACGCCCTGGTAGCGAAGGAGGGCATCAGGCAGTACCGTGCCACTTGCAGGTAGCTGCAGTGCACTGCTTGGTTGCATAATTGCCCACACAGCCACCTGAGTGTTGGAAGCTGTCGCATGAGAGGGCGCATGTGTGCCACCTGCCGTGCCTTCAGCATCAGACATGCTGCCTTCGTACACGTGCTTGCCAAAGAGCCCACCCATAAATTGCAACGACGAAACCCGTATGCCATCGAGGACATGTTGCGCACCACAAGGCCACGTGGGTTGCGGTGCGGAGGTCGTTGGCAGTCGTTCTTCCACGATGCGGGGATCTGTCGTCATACAAAACGCATCTTGAAGCTCTTGTTGGTGAAGTAGCTGGCCTATGCTCCCAATATACTGGAATTGATGTTGCAGCAGATAGTGATAATATACCCCAACCAGGTCAGTTTCAGCAGGAGGAGGAGGAGGTAAGATCGCACCAGGGCGCACCGTCGTGGGTGCGGGAAACGTACGCATGCCGCGCTGGAGCAAGGGTTGGGTGACTGCCAGAGGATCTGTTGCGGCAGCTGTGACCAAACAGCGCTTCTCCAGCGTGGACAAAGTCATCAACCGCTTGAGGCCATTGATGACAAAGAACATGGCGAGATCAAGGACCGCAGCGTTACCGCCAACTGCAATCACATCCAGACAGTGGGAAAACTCGTGATCATCCGTGCACACCGCCAGGCAATTGGTGTCGTTGATTTGGGCCACAAACATGCCCAAGCTGAGGTGGATAGGCACGCCTCGAATGGCGTTCACAATCGGAAACAGCCGCCTCACAATCGCTGACCAGCACGTGGGCGGCAGCCAGTCGTCCGACTTTGTGCACTGCAGGCGCCGTCCAAAGATGACGCCCGGCTCACTGCCAAGCAGCTCGTTCATCCTGGCTCTGATGGTCGGGTGAGGATCTTGGCGAGGAAGGAGGGCGGGAAACGTGAAGCGTCCGTCACCCAGTGCAAAGCACACGTCAAAGGAAGCGAGGAATGGCAGCAAATCGTCCTGCGCGTACTGTGGGATGCGAATGCTTCGTTTTTCCAGCGCGTTCACGGCTTGTAGTACAGATACGCCAGGCACGAAGACCGCTGTGCTTGCTGTGCCCGCCTGCGCAGTCGTCAGCCTCAAGCCGTGCAGCGGGTGCAGCAGCGCCGCCATCAGCTTGCTTAGCCAGGTCACCGGCTCCAGCACACACCGGTCCTCGTCATCGGGAATGCGCCGCACCACACCCGCATCGTCCAAGAACCTCAAAATGAGGTCGGGGTCCTTGTCTCGGAAGTCGATCTCGGACACACTAATGATGGGCCACACCTGGTGCTGCTCCATTTTCATGCTCTGCACACAGTTCTTGATGCTCAAATAGGCGGTAGGGACTTGGACGTAGGGCACACCTTCCCTTCGCAGTGTCGCGAGTTCTTCATCCAAGGCAACAAGGCCGAAGTCGGCGCCTGCATCACCAATGTCGTGTTCATCGTAGCGTGGGGCAAAACAGCAGTGTCCAAGATGAAACTCGCTTCCAACCCGCTCTTGCACAACAGCGTGGAGGTGCTGGAGATCAAAATCAAAGGATGGCAAGTCTGTCTTGGTGGCGACCAGCCGCACTTGCACGGCTTCGGCTTGCTTGTGTCGAGACAGGCGGCATGCTTGCAGCAGGCCGAGCCACACACTGATACGGGCGATGGAATGCTCCAACCCTTTTGAGGCATCAAACACAAGGAGGTACACGGCCATGTGCGAGGCCATGAAGAGCTGGTGGGCCGGGAAGAACTCCAGCTGGCCCGCAAAATCCCACAAGTCAAACGCGTGCTTGATCCAGTGGTCCACGTCAATGCCTTCCGTCCACACGTGCGGCATGTGCAAGAGCTGCTGGAACGGGCTGCCGCTGTCTTTGGACGAAGACAATTTGCTACCTTTGCTGAGGAGAAAGCGCTTTGCCTGAAGCATGCGCTGCACAACGTCCTCAGAGGCAGGCGTGTTTGCACTGCCAAACCACTGCTGCAGTTGGTCATCGGTGCATGCCAACCATCGCTTCCCCGTTATACCCTTGGCCCTCGGGCACTCCTCGTCAAAGAACCCGTCCCTGTGCGCCAGATCGTGATCCACCCACTGGCGGAAGTCGGCCTCTGTGTACCTTCTCAACTCGGTGCGTAAGGACGTACGAATGCCCTCCAGCAACGTTTCGCGATCGGCGTTGTGCAGCATCATCAGCGCCGCCTTGAGGGTGGTCTTGCCGACACCGCCATCCCCAATAAACACGAGGCGAGATCGTGTGAGAAGCTCGTGCCCCTTTTCCACGTCGCGTAGATACGGAAATATTCCCTGACGGTTGTCCCAGGGCCCCTCATCGAGATCGTCATACCAGAAGCTTTCTTCTGGGGTAAGAACCGAGCCGGGAGGGCACAGGATGGGGTTTTCGTTCACATCAACGACACGAATGTGAACAGTCTTGAGATACTCAGGTGTCAGGTGCGTGATGCTGTTGTTTGTAACGCTGCAGTGGCCGTCAGCATACATGTGAGAAACGCGTCGGGAGTGCATAGCAGCGTGTCAACAATATCGGTTAACAAATGAGCACAACGAACAAACACAAACCTGAGATAACGCAGAGCTGCCAGGTTTTCAACGCTCCTTGCAAGCGCGTGCATGCCCGTAGAGCCAAGGCTGTTCCTGTTGATACTAATGGGCACGAGATGTAAAAGGGTTCATCAGGAATCACAAAATAAATCAGGGGTCAAACGTGAGTAACACACAATGATCCATGGCTACGGGCCCAGTGTCACCGTGCACGTGCTTCACACACACACACACACACACACACGCATACACACACACACACACACACACACACACACACACACACAAACACACACACACACACACACGCACACACACACACGCAAACACACGCATACAAACTTGAGTTGTTGAAGGTTGGACAACTTGGCAAGTGCTGTTGTGAGGGCGCCCATGCCCTCAGGTCCAACGTTGTTGCTGCTCAGACTGCACATCACGCCCGCAGTCAACACACAAGAAAAGCAAAAGCAAGTGCACCAATCGTAAAACGTCACTCACTGGTGAGTCGACACGTGACGACGGCTACAACCCTGTACCATAATGATGCACGTGCGCAACTATTCCTACAATATACCGCAAGCCATGGACACCTCAAGCACAACACCACTTCAACGAGTCTGTCTCCCATAAAATCCACACTAACTAACTCGAGTTGTTGCAGGCTTGTCAAGTTGCCAAGTGCTGTTGCGAGGGCGTGCATGCCGTCGCACCCAAGCTCGTTCGATGACAAGCTAGTTGGGAGTGCGCAGGGGAAAAAAGAAGAAAAAAAAAAGGACAGTGCAATCATCACGCAGAGTGGTGATGTGAATGAGGTCACAACCTCGCACAACAAATACATCAGGTAAAAGCGAGCGGCATGAAAAACACGCTCAGCCACCCTGACATGCACTCACACAGGCTGCAAAACGATGAACATATCCATCACCACACCAATTCAACGAATCGGCCGTACAGCACACCCACACACACACGCGCGCGCACACACACGTATACAAACTTGAGTTGTTGCAGGCTTGTCAAGTTGCCAAGTGCTGTTGCGAGGGCGCCCATGCCGTCGCACCCAAGCTCGTTCGTTGACAAGCTAATATTTTTTTGGGGGGGGGGGAGTTGCAAAGATACATGACAAACCGGTCAAGTGCAGTGCAACGATCATCTGATGTCAGTGGCATGATGTACATGCTCAACTTCCACGACACGCAGCGAAACAGCCCACAAACATTGAGCACGCTCACAAAAGCGCCACTGTGTAGGGCCTGCTCCACAAGTCACACGCGCACGCAAACACACCCATACAAACTTGAGTTGTTGAAGGTTGGACAACTTGGCAAGTGCTGCTGCGAGTGCGCCCATGCCCTCAGGTCCGAAATTGTTGCCGTTCAGTCTGCACATGCAACACGCAGCCAAAGTAAGCACAACCACAATGCAATGCAAGTCTTGAGAAACAGGTTCAATGCCAGAGAAAACAAATCTTCGTAATGTCAAAAGCCGCCAGTCACAAGTGTTTTAACAGGAAATCCTATCACGCCCTCACACGCACACACACTCTCGGTCGCTGTTTATGCGTGTGTGTCTGTGCCTGTCGTCTGTCGTGCGCGCACGTCGCAAAAGCTAGCTGGCAGTCGTATAACCGGATCAAACATTTGTTCAGCTCACTTACTTGAGTTGTTGAAGGTTCGTCAACTTGGCAAGTGCTTCTGCAAGTGCGCGCATGCTCCCGGGTCCCGGTGTCTTGGGCAAAAACCCGGAGAAACAGCTGCGTGTCCAGCAGGCACAGTGCAACACAGTGCACGAAAGATCAAGCGCATGTTAGACAGAACTGTGACTCGACTGCATGATGCCCCAAGTTTGGTATGCATGTACCACACCCTCATCCGTGCGTGCAATCAAATAGTCCATCCATATCAAATTGTCAGCACACAGCACGATTCCCGATGAAGCATCGGCGGACAAAACCTCATCTGCAGCAGCTCCTGCCAAGTTTTCGGCTTGCTCTCGGCTTTTTGTGGCAGGCTGATCGCAAAGAGACTGTGTGGATCAAGACACAATCGCATTCAAAGTTCGTGAGAATTCATGACCAATGCCAGCCGCACAGCACAACCCATGCAGAAGATAACACCCACGGCAACGGACCAAAACCAGCAGTCACGGTGTACGTGCCAACCACACACATTAAAATGAGTGAGCAAACAGCCACTTTCAACCAACACTCATGACAACACGTACGAAAGGGATCGTAAGCCTGTTAGCTTCGAAAGGGTCGACAAAAAAACATGCATCTCTGTCCGGTCAAGTGACATGCGAAGAATACTGGTAGTGCATGCCAATTCAGGCAAGAAGAACACAGATCCGAGAGTTGGTGAGCGCATCACAGGGCTTGGAGTAACAACGCAAGGGCCACTTTGCACACAACTTCGTCTCCCCAGATCTGCTGGCGAAGACATTTTTCAACCTCGAGCAACACCGCCTGCAACACAAATAATAAGTCGACATTCCACACACTGCAGTTCCTACTCGAGGGTGCGCAGGCCCATCAGGTTTTGCAGGCCACTGACTACAGTGTGCATGCGCTCATTGGAAAGGTTGCACCCAAAGAGCGTTGCCATTGCACTGGAGCAGGAAGCAAATGGGCAAAGCAAATGCAGTGAATAACACAGCTGAGTTCATACACATGTGTTACATTCTCACAAGGATATCACAGCATGGTCACATGTTATGCAGCGCAGCAATGTGCAGTTGGTGTGCGTGTGAATCACATCAGGACAGTAGCGCGATAACGTTGACAGCAATGGCCTAAGAGTTTGATCCCAGGACCACCCGATTCACGTACCTGCGTGTGCACAAGCACGTCCACGTCTCGAGCGAATATGCGAGTGGAAGCAAGGCTTTCCATGGAAGGAGTGCTTCCACCACACTTAGCAGTCAACAGTGAGGAGACAAACAGCGCATCGTTTGTGAGGAGGTAGCTCGCTCCAAACCCAACGCACAATTCTCATGTCTGTGGAGGTACTGCTTGTTCACTGTACTCACACGAGCTTCACGATGCTAGCATTGCTGGAGGCAATCGCCTCAAGAATTCTGGCCAGCATCTGCGCAGACACTGAAATCGGGTCTAAATATTCCCCTGCCAGCCTATCAACAACATCAATCCATGAGGCCACACGCATCACGTTGATCTCGATTCTCACATTCACTGACAGTAGCACAGACGCACACACAGAGATCAGACACAAACACGCACACAGACACACAGACACAGACACAGATACACACAGACACACACAGACACACAGACACACACAGACACACAGACACACACACACACAGACACACAGACGCACACACAGACACAGTACACAGATACACACACAAATCTGCACACTTACGTCAGTGTCCCTTCACAGGAGCCGTCCATGATTGCCTCGATCAGGCCTTCACACCATTCAGGTATCTGTTCCTGGTTCTGCTGCTGTTGTTCACTCATGATCGCGTGGAAGTGTCTAAGTGTGCGTGGGCTCGTGCGCAGCAAAGGGGGAAAGCCTCGAAGAGAACGGGCTTTGAGAGGAGGGAGCTGGAGAGCTGGAGAGGAGGGGACAAAGAAGGAGAGGAGAGGACAAAGAAGGAGAGGAGAAGAGGAGGGGGACTGGAGTGGAGGGGATCGTCGGGGGGTAGGGAGGAGAGCGAGAAGAAGGCGGCTTGGCACAACAAGCGATATCGTCGGTGCTGCTGCGCGCCTTCACCACAAACGGACAAATCGCCACCACATTCACCAATTTTCTACAACCGAACCGGCAAGCGCCAACAGCAACAACAGCGCGACAAACGCAGCGGATGAACCACCATCCCCACCAACACCACGCACGTCGTGGTGGGCACAGCCGCCGTTTCCGTGGTCGTGGCCGTGGACGTGGCCACGCACATGGCCACCGACGTGGTCGAGGCGGGATACTCCCACATGCACAGCACGCGCCACACCAGCCACAGCACGCGCCACACCAGCCACAACGCGCTCCACAATTTTCACACCAACAGCACCCACAACCACGGCACGTCAGCGACTGGCCGCAGCGACCGCTGGCGCACGGTGCCGAGTCAGAAGACGCGATACCGCCACAGCCGTACCGTTATCAGCACCAGCATCAGCACCAGCATCAACATTACGTTGCACCGCATGCGACGCAGGCACCGCTGTCAACCCGACCGCCTGTTTTGACGCCATCTCAGCAACACCAACCACCTCTATCCATGACCGCCGACAGACCGCCCAGACAACAGCAGTCACAGGCGCAACCGCAAGCACAGCCACAACTACAAACGCAGGCAGAGACGGCAGTGCGCCGACCTGCACACCATGCCTTGGTAGAACAGCACGAGAAGAAGAAGCGGCTGGAGGACCTCAGACGCCAAGCTGCTGCGGTCCGTTTCTTGCGTCTCCTTTGATGGTTGTTCCTGTAGTGTACACATCCGTTGCATGCCTGCTGATTGATTGCACGTTTGTCCGCGAGACCAACCTTGCACTTCCACTCACACATCTGCATCCCTGCCATTCCAATCACACATCAACATTCCCGCTTCTCGTTCTCCCTGTCACATCTTTGCTTTCTTGCAGCATGCCTCGACTTGCCTCGGCCACTTTACCGACGTGTCCTCGTACTACGGCAACTTCATCCTTCCAAGCCTACCTCGGCCCGCCTCCTCGTCTTCATAGTCGCTCTAGGCCACACGCATTCGTTCGTTCGTTCGTTCGTTCATTCATTCATCGACGGCGGTACCTCCAGCCGACGAGCAGTGACGCCAAAGGCAACGGAAGGGTGGTGCACATGGAAGCAGAAGGAGGGGAAGATGCAGGAGGGAGAGAACAGACGACGCGATAACACACGGCAACAGTAACTGGCACGTGCGGGCTGGGTAATGCATGGTTTCATCAGCTGAGTTGGGGTCGTCAGTTATGTACACAACCAAACACAGGCGGTGATGATGACAGCAGTGACGTGATGTTGTGACACGACGTGCACGAGCGAAGAATAAACGAACCGGTCAAGGCGAAAGGCAAAGAGTCAATTAAAAGAAACCAGAGCAGATACGTGGAACAGAACAAAGGAAGGGGGGGGGGGAGGAGGAAGGGCTGTTTTTTCGGCAAGCAAGCACGCAAACAAGCCAGCAAGCAAGCACACAAACAAGCAAACATGTACCGCACATCAACCACAACAGTTGAGCCGTCCACATCGCCATCATCTGCCCATGCTCACGTGGCCCATGGCTGAGAGGGCTGGAAAGTGCATCGACAAGGGCTGTTGCTGCACATGTTGTTGCTGGTGTGCGTGTGCGTGTTGCTGCTGCTGCTGCTGCTGTTGTTGTTGTGGTTGAACGAGTTGGTGGTACTGAACCTGCTGCGGTTGGCTGCGGTGGTGTGCTTGCATCGGCGTGCCTAATTGCTGCTGCTGTGGCACCTGCATGTGCATGGCTGCCTGCTGCTGTTGGTGCGCTTGCATCTGTTGGTGCTGCATGTGGGCCTGGTGCGCCTGTTGGCTGTGCATGGCAGCGGGGAATGTGACGTGGCCTTGTTGTGCGTTGGCCGCCGCCATCATCTGTTGTTGCTGCTGCTGTTGTTGTTGCTGCTGTTGCTGAAGCTGCTGATGTTGCTGCTGCTGTTGCTGTTGGTGGTGGTGTTGCTGAAGCTGCTGATGTTGCTGCGATTGCACCAGCGCCTGCATGGGTATCATGGACATGTGTGCGGCAGCCGGTGCAGCTGCAATCCCCGCGTGCGCGTGCGCGTGTGCATGTGGCGGTGGCGGGAGTGACGGGACGGCTGACACGGCTGATGGCACGACCGCCTGTGGGTGGTGGAGATGGTGGTGGTGCTGTGGCTGCGGCGCGGAAGTGGTTTGCGGGACACCGACAATCGTCTTGGTCAGCGACGGGTATGTCAGCGGCGTTGCCACTGTGGGGGCGCGCGTGTCCGGGCGGCTGGAGCACGGGACGGTGCACTCTGCCACGGGCTCGATGCACAGGTGCGTGGGCGTGCCCTGCTTCTCGTAGTTGTTCCACATTGCGAAATAGGACCGCTCCAAATGCCGCGTCAGCAGCCGCGTGTCAAACAGCGGCGCACGTGTGCGCGCATGGCGGACCTGGTGGTTCGCGAGGGGAGATGAGAGGAGAGGAGAGATGTGTGTGTGTGTGTGTGAGTGTGAGAGAGAGTGAGTGAGTGAGTTGGTGAGACAGTGTCAGTGTGTGTGAGTGTGAGAGAGAGTGAGTGAGTGAGTTGGTGAGACAGTGTCAGTGTGTGTGTGTGTGTGTGCGTGGACGCGTGGAAGTACTGCGAGCGCAGTTGAGCAGCATGCCGTGGCGAGTGGTTGGTGCTTCCCACCTTGTGCTGCATGTCGAGGAGCTTGCGTGGGTTTCGGCACAAATCAACGGCCTGCGGTAAGAGCAGTAGCAGTTGGGGGAGGGGGGGGGTTTGAGGAGCCGTGAGGGGTAGTGCGCGCCGTCATGACGATGATCACAATCAAGGAAACGATTCAAGAAGCGACACAAAGTGCCCCCAACATTCAGCACACTCACAGACACACAGACACACGCACACACGCACACACACGTGCACAGACCTTGTTGAAGTAGTCTTGGCGGGATGACGCAATCAGTTCAGGGCACCCGAGCGCGGTGACCAGCGACGACGCAACGCGTGATGCAAGCGTGTCACCTGGCAGCGTCAGCATGGGCGTGCCGGCCCACAGAATGTCCATGCCCGTTGTGTGGCCATTGCACGCGTGCGTGTCCAGGCACAGGTCCGCCAGCGCACCGCGACGCACGTGCTCAACCTGAGGTGAGAGGGGCGGATGCAGCAAAGTGAGTCAAAGGCGGTGGGAACAAATGCAGACAGACAGCGCAACAAAGCGATCGTGATGCACGTGACACACGTGACACACACACACATGTGCACACGTTTCCGAGTGCAAGACATCAACAGAACATAATCCAAACAAAGCAAACACACACACACACACACAACCCACCTTGCCGGCGACGGGGCTGAAGATGACGCGTGACTGGTCGAGGCCAGCGGCTTGCACGTGCATGCGCAGGTTCTGTTCGCCAGCAGGCGGGAAGCGAAGAATCCACAGCACTGTGTTGGTCGTCGCCTTGAGAATGTCCAGCCACAGCGAGAACGTCATCGGGTCGATCTTGTACAGCTGTGTCACACGGCACGGGTTGGCGGGTTGTGGGTGGTGAGGCAGGTGTTGAAGGGATGAGGTGATGGCAGAAATGCGAGACAATGAGCGTGAGAGAGAAGGAGAGATCAGGTGGGAGCGATGCAATGTTGATCACACACACACACACACACACACACACACACACACACACACACACACACACGCAACCCACAACACACAACACACACATGCACGTACCTGGTTGAAGTTACAGAGGATGATCTTGTCTTGGGGAAGACCGTAATACGCTCGCGTGAGTGGCGGCTGATTCGGCTGATCCGGTGGCGGGAGGGGCGCATGCGATGGCGTTTTCTATCACACAGAACATGGAACGGCCCAGAGTGACGCGACGTGAGCATGAGTGTCCGAAGTACCTGTGTGTGTGTGTGTGTGTGTGTGTGTGCGCGCGCGTATCTCTGCCCCCCCCCACACACGTCTCGCTGACACACTCTCCGTTACTTCACCCAAATCACTCCCCGCCCTCCTGTTACGTACCGGGATTGGCTTCATGTGGACGATGGCTGGCGCGGGTGCGGCGTACCCCATCATGACCGCTTGCGAGTGCGAGGGCTGCGAGGGCATTGGGTGAGCGTAGCGTGGGTGGTGCGGCTGCTCCTCAAGTGACACGACGGCCTGTTGCGGTGCATGCTGCTGATGATATTGCTGATGCAGCAGCAGCTGTTGTTGTTGTTGTTGTTGTTGTTGTTGTTGTTGTTGTTGTTGTTGTTGTTGTTGTTGTTGTTGTTGTTGTTGTTGCGTGTGGGCTGCCGTGGAGGCTGTGTTCGTGCCAGTGCCAATCTGGCCACGCACGCCCTCAGTGCTGGAGCGAGTACCATTGCCAGTCACGCCGTTACTTGTGGAGCCCTTACCAGCGCCAACACCAACGCCAAGACCAGCAGCGCGCCGCACAATCGCATCATCCCCACAGTTACCATCGCCATCACCATCATCGTCGTCGCTCTGGAGGCTGCATGCTGCCTTCTTGTTGGCTGGTCGCTCGATGCTCTCCAGCGCATCGCGTGTTGGCGATTCCCTCTTCTTCACTGCCGCCGCCGCTGCCGCTGTCGGCGCCATTGCACGGCGACCACGCGATGAACGCGCACCACGCGCCATAACCGACGACGATGATGTCGACGATGCTGGTGCAGATGTTGATAATGATGTGAGGGCGGTGGTGGAGGTGGAGGCTGCTTGCTCTGCCGATGATTGCGCGGCTGTTGCTGCTGCTGACGCCTGCGCCGCCGCCTTGGTTGTGTCCAGTGTCATGTTCAGCAGCCGCGTCAGATCGCGGTCCGCCTGAAGGGAACCAAGCATTGGTGTGTGTGGGTGTGTGTCGTGGGGGGGGGCAGATATGTGAATATAAATACGGCAGAACATGTGTGAGAGTCAGTACCAGACGCAAATGCCAGCCCAAACCGCCACACAACGTGCACATACACACATATAACACGCAACACCATCATTCGCGTACCTGTTCGGGTTGTTGTTGTTGTTGTTGTTGTTGTTGTTGTTGTTGTTGTTGCATGGGCAGGTACGCGGGGTGCTGTGGTGCTGCTTGTTGCAGGGATTGTAGCACAGACTGTTGTTGATGGTGTTGTTGTTGCTGTTGCATGTGCCCAATCAGGTGTTGCATGGGCATGATAAACGCGTTTAGCCTGGCCTGTGACGCAGACGCGGGCATGACGGGGTGCGCAGGCACCTGCCCCTGCGGCAACACATACTGGAGACTCGGGATGTACGCGCTCGGGAACGCATGCGCCGCCCCGGGGATGACATAGTTGGTCTTTGGTGGGAGGGTGACGATGGTGACGATGGTGAGTGAGCGTGTGAGCGTGTGAGTGGGTCAACTCTTGAGGAGCAAGGGAGCGTCACGCGCGAACCACACACACACACACACACACACACACACACACACACACACACACACACACGCGCGCGCGCGCGCGCACCCACACAGACCCACAGACCCACAGACCCACAGACCCACCCACCCACACACACCCACACACACAAAGCACGCATGTACTCACCCCGACGTATGGAATGTTGAACGGATTCGATGCGAGGACCTGTGCCAGTGTGGACGCATAAATGGGGGCAGTAACTGTATCGCCCATCTGCTGCTGCTGTTGGTGAGCTACGTGGCTGCCATGCACCGTCTGCGCAGACTGGTACTGATCAATGGGCGGTTGCGCAACATGACCCAACTGTTGCTGCTGTTGCTGCTGTTGTTGTTGCTGCTGCTGCTGCAGTGCGGTGCTCACGCGCTGTGCGTGTGCGCGCGCGTCTGCCTGGGAGAGCCCCTGCGTGTACGGCAGGGCAGCAGAGGTGATACGGCGTTCCTCATCAGGGTCGCGCACGTCGTGGTTTGGCGGCAGCGGGAACATGTTGGCGTGGTCGCCGACAAAGAACGTGTGCGGCATGTACACGAGGTGCTCCGAGTACGCGTCCTGCCACTGCTCAGGCGGCGTTGTCAGCGCGTCTGAGTCGACGACGACGACAGAGACCAAGGTGGTGGTGGTGGACATGCAGAGTGAGGAAGGGGAGAGAGGGCAGAATAGAGGCGGAGGCTGTGGGGAAGGGTAACGTGCAGAAGGGGGGGGGAAGGGGGCAGGCACAGACAAACGCACATGCGGCGCACATGTGGCACACGTGTCACACACACATGAACCACAAACGTAACACAAATGTCACACACACACACAGTTCGCACCTGTGATGATGTAGTCCATGAAATCGCTGCCGGAAGTGCCTGGATAACCGAGCCACATGGCCTGGATGGGGGCGGGGCGGAGGGCGAAAATCTCCGTGCGCGCGCCCTTTGTGTACCCGTTGAGGTTGATCAGGATGTGGATGCGGTCAGCGTAGATGCGATCTGGTAATGGAGATGAAGTTGAGATGATGTGGCGATGGAGGAAGTGGTGACGGCAGAACACACGGGATTAGGGTGAATTAGAGGATAACAAGGGGGGGGGGGAGTTCACAGGCAACAGTGCAGGCAAGCAAACGTTTCATCTCTACACATCCGCACGCACATTCACCCACACACACACACCCACACACACACACACACACACACACACACACACACACGCACGCACACACCTGCAGCGAGGCCGTTGTCTGTGATGACGCTGAGGTCGACAAAGTGCTCCACCTCACGCTCAATCTTGCGCCGGTACACGCTGCCGTCATCGGGGGCGAGCGAGTAGCAGAACACCTCCACCAGCGACTTGTCGTGGTATCCGGGCACGCTCTGCATGAGGTGCGACGTGGGGTGGTCTTTAAAGTCCGACGACACAAAGCCCACACGCAGCCGCCCTTTCAGGGGCACGTAGTCCTTGAAGGAGTATGGGGGCCGCTGGAGCATGGCCACGTTTCGTTTCGCGGCGTCGGCGTGCGCTTGCGCAATGGAGCGACGAAGCGTGTTAGGCAGCGGGTACAGGAACGAGTGGTGCGGGTGCACCGAGGGGAAGAGGTTGCTGGTGATTTGCTGGTTGATTAAGGACACGAGCTGGCGCATGCGGTGCTCATAGTCGCCCCAGTCGCACACCTGCATTGGAGTTGAAGGAGGAGATGGCGGTGGGGGGGGGAGAGGGAGGGTGATGTGGTGGTGAGGTGAAAAGAAAGAGAAAGAGAGAGAAAGGGAAGTTCAAGTAAAGCAAACGCAGACACACAGACACGCAGACACACAGACGCACATGCCTACCATTTGGAGCGAGTGGGCGAGGTTGCAGAAGACAGTTGGGTTGTCGGATTTGAGGCTGAGCGACGCCTTGTAGTAACGAATTGCCTCGTGAATGATGCCTGCACGTGGCGAAGATGATTGGTGGTGGTGGTTGAATGTGATGAGTTGGGGGCGGACCTGCAGCACACACACACACACACGCACACAAACACACACGCACACGCACACACACACATTGTCTTGCATATACTCGCGACTTACCAAGATCCTTGCAGACGCATGCGAGGTTGTTGTAGTCGTCGGCGGAGTTTGGATTGACGGCGACGGCGCTCAGAAACGCCTGGCGCGCGTGGTTCAGGTCCCCTAGCTCTCTGTATGAGGGGGGGGGGCGGACGAGGGTTGGTGGGGAATGATTGGTGAGGAACGTGTGAGGGTTGAGGACAGGGCAAAAAAAAAAAAAGGATGAAGAACGGCGCCGTGACCCACACCTTAAACACACGATCATCACACACACACACACACGCACACACGCACACATGCCACCACACCTGTAGACGTGTCCGAGGTTGGTGTGGCACTCTGCAAAGCGCGGGTTGAGCTTGATGGCCTCGGCATAGTGGAAGGCGGCCTCCCGCAGCTGCTGCGTGCGATGGAAGACAGTGGCCAGACCAGCGTGGCCGTGCGCCGTCGTGTGCACAGCCAGCGACCGCCGGTACACCTGCAGCGCCTGGAACACCCGGCCTGGTGGTGGTGGTGGTGGTGGTGAGCAGATGCGGTCATGTGTGAAGCGGGTGACGTGAAGCAACCATGGTTGCACGTTTCAGCACCTCTGCATCCCATCACACACACACACACACACACACACACACGCACACACGCGCGCACGCACACCTTCATCGCGCATCCTGTTTGCGAGGTTGATGAGGGCGACGGCAGCCAGCTCGGGGCCCATGACGTTGACGAGGTTCGAGTATGCGCACTCGAGCTGCTCATCGTGGTAGATGGCGCGGGAGAAGTGGTTGATGGCCTCCTGCACGCTGCCATCGTCCAGCACAACGCAGCCGAGGTTGTTCCACCCGACAGCCAGCGCAGGGTCCTGCTGCAGCGCCCCTGTGGTGATGGCGGTGATGGCGGTGATGGTGGTGGAGTGAGCTTGTTGTTGGGACGGGGAGGGACTGTAGTTTGGCAACTCAGACGAAAGAGCAACATACAACGCACACGCCCACGATCGCTGCACACACACACACACACACACACACACACACACACACACACACACACACACACACACACACACACACACACACACACGCATGTGCCTTACGTTCGTAGCAGGCTTTTGCCTCAGCTCTCCTGTTCTGTGACTTGAGGAGGTTACCAAGGTCGTTGCGCACACCCTGCAAAGGCTTTGAAGACGTTGGGGCGTCAGTTGTGCTTGCAGCTCTCAACCAAACAGTCCGTCGTCCGCAGTAACGGGTGGGAGGGGGGGGGAACAACCTGCAGCGTGTGCTGTGGATAATGGCGTGCAAGTTGGTCGGCCTGGGTCTGCACGCTTTCCGAGTTTGTGTGTGTGCGAACTTCAGCTGTCACCAACGTTGCCGCTCTCTCTCAATCTCACACACACACACACGACATTCGTTTGTGTGTGTGTGTTTCTTCCTTCACCTTCCTTCCTTCGCCTTCGTCTGGTTTTGCTGCGTCTTGATGGGTTGTTTGGGTTGACAAAACCCCGCGCCGCTCGCTGCCTCCTGATGTGCCGAAATTATTTATTCTTTTTTTCCGTCTTGCTCATGCAAAACCGGGCGATTCTCTACGAAACTTTGTCGTGTGGACGCAAACTTTTCGGCAATCGAAAAATGGGTGTCTGATCTGCCCACTGACCCAATTTTACCACACCGGGACGAGGTGGTAAAATAGGAGGCGGTGTTGGTAAAACATTGGACATGTGGTAAAATCAGTGTCGGCTGTCTGCAAGAAGCAAAACAAGCACAACACAACACCAAACAACACAGCACAACACAGCACCAGCACACCAGCAGCAGCACCACCTTGTTCTCCTTGTGCTTGTTCGTGACATCGTGAGCAGAGCCATGGGTGACGCTTCTGCATTGCACATCTTGGCCAAGGAAGGCGACACAAAGACCTTGTCACAGGCGTTGAAGTCTGCAGACGCAAAGTGAGTGGGCGGTGATTCTTGGTTGGTGGTGGCGGTGGTTGTTTGTGTTTGTGGTGATGATGTGCCACTGTGTGGCAGCGCGTTTTGCCTGACCGATGGCTGTTGTGTGTTGTGCTTTCGCAGTGTTGTGGACGGTGACGGCATGCGGCCGCTGCACTACGCAGCGTGGTATGGCCACCCGGGATGCATCCAAGTGAGTGCACTGTGCCGTGTGTGTTGTTTTGTTGTGCTTTGTGTGCTTTGTTGGGGCCGAAAGGGGTTGTTAGGTGTATGTATGTGTATGTGTATGTGTATTTGTATGTGTGTGTATGTGTGTGTATGTGTGTGTATGTGTGTGTATGTGTGCATGTATGTGCATATGTGTGTATGTGTGCATGTGTGTGTATGCGTATGTGTGTGTATGTGTGTATGTGTATGTGTGTCTGCGCGTGCGCGCGCTCTGTCTCTGTCTTTGCAGAGCAACCAATCGCAGCGCCACCTCATGCCACGCTTGCTACTGACGCAACACCACCTCAACTTTGTCAGGCTCTGCTGAGCGCAGGCGCAGAGATTGATGCGCATGACTACGATGGCGCGACCGCACTGCACGCAGGTCAGGAGGAGGGGGTGAAGGGCGAGAAAGGGGGCTGTTATACCGCGGCGCCGTTGTAACCTGTCAACACTTTTCATGACACGTACACGTGGGCTTGCACACATACGCACACACACACACACACACGCACACACACACACACACACACACACACACACGCACGCACACACACGCACACACACACACACACACGTGCTCGCACGTGTTCCACTGGCAGCCGCATACAACGGGCAGCTGAACACAGCGCTGCTGCTGGTGGAGCAAGGCGCAGACGCAACCATCACCGACAACAACAACGAGACAGCATGTGAGGTGGCTGTGGAGGAGGGGCATGAGCTCGTGGCGAAATTCCTCAAGCTGGCCGGTGAGACTCAGAGCGCTGACATCTCTAGCACGTGCAGTGTTGTTGCTCTCTTTGTTGTATTTGTTGGGCTGTTGGGCTGCTGCGTTGTGTGTGGTATTGCTGTGGTCATGCTGTGCTGGTGCTGTACTGCTTTTCATGTGTGCTCTCTATCATGCGCCAACTGCTGACCTAAAGACCTGCATCCAGCTTCCTACCCCAAGCTAACCCCATTCATCACCCATCCCCCTCCTCACTCTTATTCCATTCCCATCACCAAACTACTCCACACCCCCCCCCCCAATCACCTGTACACCACCCTCTCACCACACCACCACCACTTGCTCCACGTGCCCAGAGGAAGACCACAAGGCGGACAAAGTGATGCAGCGAATGGAGAAGGCGCTGGCAGAGGCAAAGGAGAAGGCAAAGGCCGCACGCAGCGAATACGCAAAGGGCCACAAGGTGCCGTGTGGTGGATGTGTGGTGTGTGTGTTGTGTGTGAGTAATGAGTGGGTGTGCGTGTGTGCGTGCGTGCATGTGTGTGTGTGAGTGCATGTGTGTGTGCGTGTGCGTGTGAGTGAGTGTGCGTGTGTGTGATGTACATGCTTTGTTGTTCAGCACATCAAAACACACATACACGCACACCCCTGCACACTACCAAATCTACCGCAATGTCCACCGACCATTATACGCCACATCCCCCCTCATACAGGAGGCCAAGAAGACGGTGGCTGAGCTGGAGAAGGAGGCGCGCAAGCAGGCAAAGAAGACGCTCAAAGCGAAGAAGAGAAAGAAGTCCAAAGGCGGTGATGTACCCGAGGCAGGACCCGTCGAGAAGGGGGCCGCCCCAACATCATTCTCGCAGGTGTCGTTGTGGTGGATTGTGTGTGTGTGCGCATATGTGTGTGTGCGTATGTGTGTGTGTGTGTGCGTATGTGTGTGTGCGTATGTGTGTGTGTGTGTGTGTGTGTGCGTGTGCATGCGTGTGTGTGTATGTCTTTGATTGTGTGTTGCATCTCATTACGACGCACCATCCCCAAAAACACACACTACACCCCCTCCCCACCCCTACCACCAACAGCTTGCGGGGATGTCTGGCGCCCCCGCCTCAACCTCATCGCCAGCCCGCCCCCAGCGCCGCCGCACATCCTCAACGGACAACGGCAGCACCGGCACTGGCATGCGCGACAGGGTACGGACACCTTGGGATGGTGGACATGTGATGGTGTTTGTATGATGGATGGTGGATGGTGGATGTGTAGGTGTACGTTCACACTTGTGCATGTGAGCACCTGACCCCCCATGTGCACGCCCTTCCTCCCCCATCCCCTGTTTTTCCCTTTACTCACGACGACCACCACCACCACCAGGGCGCGTCTCGCACGTCTATGACGTCGGCGCACTCGCAGTCCACAGATGGCGGTGGTGATGTGCGGTCCCGGCGTAGCGATACGGGCATGCTTCTGGCACAGCTTGGCGCAGACAAGGACGACGGCGAAGCGTTGCGGCTGTTCCTGGCAACGCTGGATATGCAGGAGTTTGCGCGCGTGTTTGAGGACGAGGGCATGTCGCTTGAGGACCTGCAGCAGTGCAGCGCAGCAGACCTCAAGGTTGTGTGTGTGTGTGTGTGTGTGTGTGTGTTACGTGTTCATCTCGCACCCTCATATCGGCACCCTTTCACACCCTCTCATCCTCACGTTTTCCTGTCCTCACGCCCTCACTCACAACCCCCCCCCACCTTCCCACCTACCCACCTTTCACTGCCCTCTCCACCACTGAAGAAACTTGGCCTGCCGTCTGGCGTGCGGAAGAAACTCACTGCCGCGCTCGACTCGGCATGAGCGGGAGCAGCAGAGATGATGCGGGTGGGGGATCAGGGGAATGAGGGAGTGTTGAAGTGATGTGCAGCGAGGTAGGAAGGATGCTACGGAGAGGAAGAGAGAAAGAAAGGAAGAGAGGAAGAGGGGGCTGGTGGGTGGTGCAGTGGTGATGAGTGATTATGAACCGAAGCGGGTGAGGGGCGTATGGGTGGCTATTTCTTGAGGGTGTGAGAGAGTAGCAGTGTGGGACTCGACTGCTTACACGGTGGCGTGATGGCATGGCAAACCGCCCTCAACGATTCAATTAAACACAGCAAGCAAGTCAACACACAAGCACGACACTCAGCGGTCACCATAAAAGTCATCATCGTCCATGAGCACACTGCTGACATCGACTTTTGATGTGGACAACAACGGACAACAACGATGATGATGGAGGGCGAGGAACACCTGGTGCGTTTGTGTTGGCGCGTTGGTGCGATATGACGAACAGTCGAGCAAGCAATCAAGGGTGCAAAGCAAGAGTGCTGCGTTTCCTTGCCCCTAAGTCTCCTCTCCCACTCTCTTCTCACCCCCCTCTCTCTTTGCCATCACCACAGGTGTACTCGACAGCGCTGTCGGACAACGTGGCATCGGCGCTGGCGCACCACCGCTCGTCCCTGGATCCGCTCGTCCTGCAGTCGTCACCGCTTGGCCTTCAGGAGTCCACCGCATGTGAGTTGACAAAGGGATTGCAGGCGGTTGAGCTGATCACATGAGGCACCTTCGCCTGCCATGTGCTTCCTTCCTGCTTGCATTGCCTGCTTGCTTACTTGCTTGCCTGGCTGCTCACAACACACTGTGCTCGTGTCATGCTTGCAGACTTCCATCCAGGATACGTGCCAGCAGCACAAGTACATCAGCAGGGCTTTCAGGCAGAGCAGACAGGTTGGCAACCACAGCAGCAAGCGTCACAACAAGAGCAGCCGCAGCCGCAGGCGCAGGAATGGGATGGGCCTCGCCTCTGCTTGGGTACGTTCATATTGGGCCTTGGTGTTCTCGTTGTGTTGTGCGAGGTGCAACGACCAACTGTCCATCTGAGCTTTGCTTCACCTGTCCGCCCCTCTCACTGGCGTGCGACGGTCCACACAACACCACCGTGCAGTGATTGACACGAATGTATTCCTCACTGGCCTCAGCTATCTTGAGACGTTCCTCACCGCATCCAACGACCTTCCCTTCCTGGTGCGTTTGTGTGTGTGTGTATATGTGCATGTGTGTGTGCATGTGTGTGTGTGTGTGCGTGTGTGTGTGTGTGTGTGTGTGTGTGTGTGTGTGTGTGTGTGTGGCGCAAGCGACCATCTTATGACCTCACCGCCTCACACCACACCCCCTTCCAAATGCACTCCCCCAACCCCTGTGCAGGTTGTACTGGCACTGCCATTGACGGTGGTGGAGGAACTCGACTCCTTGAAGGACGCCCATCGCATGTGCCAGGAGTGAGTGCGTTGAGCGTTGAGTGTTGTGGTTGCACGTGGGCCTTGTGTGTCTGTGTCTGTGTCTGGTCTATCTATGTCTGTCGGTCTGTCCGTGGTTGCCTGTGTCTCGACAGTGAACACCACATGCACGCCGCCTCCCACAACCGCCTTTGCTCCTCCAGTGAAACCGGCCGCGAAGTCCCAATCTCCCAGCTCGCTCGCCGAGCCATCAGGTTCGTGTGTGTGTGTGTGTGTGTGTGTGTGTGTGTGTGTGTGTGTGTGTGTGTGTGTGTGTGTGTGTGTGTGTGTGTGTGTGTGTGTGTGTGTGTGTGCATAGCTGGCGATGCTGCGAACACCTCACGGCACGTGTCCACCTGCTCACGAAAGCGCGCGCACACACACGCACACACACACACACACGCACACACACACACATACACACGCGCACACACATATCCACGTACAGGTGGATCCAGAACATGTTCCAGCGGCACCCGCATCACATCATCGGGCAGCGTATGGCGGACGTGCACATACGGTCACCGGTTCTTCCCGTTGTGAAGCAGAACGACGACAGAATCCTCCACTTTGCACTCGCCCTCCAGTACATGCTGCTTGCACGGTGGGCGCAGTGGAGATGCACGCCATGTTGTGTTGTGTATTGTTGTATGTATGTATGTATGTATGTATGTATGTATGTATGTATGTATGTATGTATGTATGGATGTATGTATGTATGTATGTATGTATGTATGTGTGTCTCTCTGTCTGTCTGTCTGTCTGTCTGTCTGTATGTATGTATGTATGTGTGTGTGTGTGTATCTGTCTGTCTGTCTGTCTGTCTGTCTCTGTGCATGTGTGCCTGTGAAAGCTGTCACGTTTGCATCACAATCGCTTCTGCTACCACCATCGTAACGCCACCTGCCCGTTCTTTGTTACCATCTTCAGGTTACGGCAATACAAGATGAAGATTCTTCTGCTCTCCCACGACCGCGCCCTCTGCGTCAAGGTCGCCTGTGGAACTGATGGTGGAAGTGATGGATGATTGAAGTTGATGGGAGTGCTCACAATGTACTGCGTCATGTCAGACTCACGCCACCTCTCTCCCCCCTTCCTCCCTTCCTCATGCTCTCCTCCCCCGAACCTCATGTCGTGCCTTTGCCCCCCCCCCTTCGATGTGTAGGCGACGATGAACGGGCTTGCTTCGTGTTCGCACCACGAGCTCCCGGCGGACCCCCACACAATTGGCACCGCTTTCACCGAACTCAGGTACAGGCGTGCTTGCACGTGTGTGTGTGTGTGTGTGTGTGTGTGTGTGTGTGTGTGTGTGTGTGTGTGTGTGTGTGTGTGTGTGTGTGTGTGTGTGTGTGTGTGTGTGTGTGTGTGTGTGTGTGTGTGTGTGTGTGTGTACTCTGTGTGTGTGTGAGCAGACTTCCGTGGCTCCAACCTCCTTGTACCCACACGCCACACTCAGCATGTAACACGACACACCCCCCCTCTTTGAGCGTCATTTCTTGGTCTGCAGCTGGACGGTGGACGGCAGCGAATTAGCGGCGACGCAGCTCGATGATACGGAATCAGAGGAGGTGCGATGGCTCCCACACTGATAATCGCACACTTACATACTTACACACTGACACACTTTTACACACACACACACACACACACACACACACACACACACACACACACACACACACACACACACACACACACACACACACACACACACCCGCCCACTCTTCCTCTCCATCTCCCATCTCACTCCAACATCAATCCCCCCCCCATCACCTCATCACCAATGTGCCGCCCTCTGCAGTTCGTGCCTCGCGCTGTGGAGGTGATTGCACCGACACCAAATCATGATGACGATGTTGATGATGACTACAGCCCCGACCCAAGAAGCCATATCGAACTTACCCTTCACGGCAACGACAACGACGACGACGACGACGGTGGTGGTGGCGATGGGTACGTTGACGCGAGCAGCACCGCCGCTGTTGGTGTTGGTGCCGGCACTGGGATGGCAACTCGGAGTGCAATCAGAAGAACAGCCGGCAACAGATACAAGAACGAAGCACCGCTGCTCCTGCCACCACCGTCATCTTCACTATCGTCATCGTCAGCACCGTCCTCGTCAGTGAGCTGGGGTGACGGTGGTGTTGGCGTTGGCATGTCGATGGAGGTGGATCGACCAGACATCTGTATCTGCTCAGCATATCCTACAGCACACCTTAAGCACGCGCCTGGCGAGCCAATACAGCCGCTCTGATGGCATGTGTACATGCGTGTGTGTGTGTGCATGTGCATGTGTGTGTGTGCATGTGTGTGTGTGTGTCAGTGCATTGCATCTTTCTTCCATCTTGTCCCTTGTTCTCCTCTTCTCCTTCTTTCCGCTCAGTTGTCTAGGTTAGGACTTGTTTGTGCATCGCAGTCTCCCTTGTGTGCATTTACGGTCGTTGTTGATGACGGGTAACGGTGTTGGCAACAAAGCTGCAGGCAGCGTGCTGCCCCTCAAGCGACACGACTACACAGTAATAAACGAACTCTACAGGACGCATGGCAATGGCAACACGTTGGTGATGAAGTTGACAGATTCAGGCAAAGTGTGGAAACGCGAGTTTTGGAAGCAAATCCACGTATACACACATATAACACACACACTCATCCACTCAGTCACACACACACACACACACGAAACTCACGAACACACACACACACACACACACGAAACACACATGAAACACATGAAACACACACACACACACACACACACACACACACACACACACACACACACACGAAACACACACACACACACACAAAGCACACCACTCATCCCTCTTTATCGAGGCAGTACTATGCAGCTGCAAAGAGGGACTGTGTGCCGTAGTTTCGCGCCTCCTTGTACGTGGGGCGGTGATACAGAAACTGCAGCATGGGCCGCTCGCTGCTCTCAGAGGTGTTGGGCATGCCTGCGTGGTAGCGTGAGGTGTTGGATGTTGGTGTGGGTGTTAGCGTTGGTGAAGGGGGGGGATATGTGAGGCAGGGTCAAGTTCCTTGCTTATGCACTGGCGATAGCTTGTAGCCATTTCAGCACACACGCACACACACACACACACACACACACACACGCACACACACACACACACCTCTGTGGATGAGTCTGTAGTCGTAGACGAGTGCAGCGCCGAGGTCAACCAGCCCGTCCACTGCACACTCAATCAGCGGACACACGGGGCCAAACCCTGGTGGTGGTGGTGGTGGTGGTGGTGGTTATGGTAGGAAGGCGTGTGTGATGTGTTGTGTGTGTGAGCATCAGTGAGTGTGAAGTGTTGGTTGGATGCCGTTGGTTTGGTGAGCGGAGTTGACTGTGACTTGTGCTACTGGCGCAGAACTTGTGCTGCATACATAGCACACACGCAGAAAGAAGACACACACACACACACACACATGTCTACCTACCAAGGAGGCCGTCGTACTTGTGTGATCCGGGCCAGAATTGCGTAAAGCCGAGCTCTGGAGAGAACTGCACCAGCGGTACAAACACACACAGCGCGTACGGCGCCTCGTGCCCGCTGTAACAGAAGGCAAGGGCGGTGTGTGTGTGTGTGTGTGTGTGTGACAGTGAGGTTGTGACGAGCTCCACACACGACTCCAACGCCACGGCAGCGCTTGCCCAGGTTACACCACCACAGCCACGATGACGACCACCATCACCGTCCCCAAACACCACACGCAACCATCAACCAACCACACCAATACAATGACAACTACCAACCACACCAATACAATGACAACTACCAACCACAACACGACTACAGACTCAACCACAGCACAACCACGGGCGACTCACCAGCCTGTCCAGTCGGCCGTCCTGCCAACGTGTGGGCCGTCCGCATGCCACGTCTGTTCCTCAGCGCCGGGCCGCGAATACACAACAGAGGTCTGACGCAGGTTGTACCATGGGGGGGGGGAGGGTGATGGTGAATAAGGATGTGTTAAGGATGGCAGCACAGTCTTGTGGGTGAGTGAAGGACGTCAAGCTACCAGTGTGTGCGTTCCACCAGCATACCAGCACCACCAGAAGCACCAGCACCAGTACCACCATCACCAGGTTGAGCACCGCCATTTCGCCATCAGCACATCGCATCATCAGCTGCTGCCATCACCTGGAACACGACGTCTTTCCCCAGTATGGCCTCAACGAGCTGTCGCCAGGGACCCAGTGTACCCAACGCATTCACGCCAACGCACTCGTCCATATCCAACAGAAGATCAAACCGCTGCTCTGCAGGAGGGGAACAAAACAACACACACACAGACACAGACACACAGACAAACACATATGTACAGCATGACGAAGGGAACGTGGCGGTGGTGATGTGTGAGGAGACAAGGCACGATATCGTGGGCAATTGCAGGTACCTCCCAACTTCACCCGATGGCCAAAGTCGTGACGGTGCTGCCCGTGTGCAACAACTGCTCACACAGCACACACACAGCACACAACACACACACACAGCACACACAGCTGCTTACACAGCTCACACACCAACTCGCAATACACTCGTTCCCCTGTCCCTGTCCCTTCTCTTCTGTTCCACGTCGCTTCTCTCACTTTGGCGGGAAGAGATTTCCTTGAAGCGGAAGTCCTCGTGTCCAATGTCGATGCCACGCGCCTTCAGCGCCTTGTCAGCCCGCTCGATTGCCTTGTCGGCCTCCTCCTTTGCCCTACATAGCAGGAAGATCGTGTGCATACGCGAGTGTGAATGCTGTAGATGCGATGAAACAGCCTGTTGAAGCTCCAGACTGCGGACACACACACACACACACACACACACACACACAAACCACGCCCATGTCCATATCTCGCCCCTCCCCTCCCCCCTCCCGCACACACACACACACACACACACACACACACACACACACACACACACACACACACACATCAACTCACTGCTGGAGCACGGCTGTGGAGAGGGCGTCCTTGAGCACGGCAATGCCGAGGCGCGAAATCTGGGACTGCAGGTCGGAGACGTTGGAGGCGGCAGCCGTGTGGGTGATGTCGTTGATGCACACGCTCTCCAGTGGCACGCGGACCGGCAACGTGGCCACCATCTCCACCTCCACTTCTTGCAGACGGAGATCGGGCAGGCGCGCTGGCGTGGCAGCAAGCGCTTCTTCCAGCGCCGTCTCCAGCTCGTGCCCAGCCACGCTCTCCTGCTCAAATTTCAGCGACCCATACACGCACACCATGCGCTTGTTCCCTGCCAGTGGAGTTGAGCAACGCGAATACATATGATCAGGTTAGTCGCGCGGCGATCCGTGGGTTTGATTTCAAAACGGATCCAGTTCCCTCACAGCCGACAAAGCGAGAGCAAGCAGCTGGGTTACCACCAATCAGGAAGGAACTTACGATCGAGCTGCCCGATCTTCCAGTCCAGCCACTCGATGTCACCGTCGTGGTCGAGGGCCGCAGTCGCCAGCTCCGCGTCCACTTTCAACTGCGCAAGGTGCACCACAACAACACAACGATGAGATGTTAGGCGTCACACCTCAACATACCCCGCGCGTCACACCGCACATTGTACAGCACAGCTTCGTTCACCTGTGGGATGGCTGCATCCATGGCCGCGTTTGTTGCGTCGTCCGTGCCATTGTGGAACACGAGGGTGAAGCAGAAGCACCCGCACGCCTTGTTCGCAGCATTCATCATCGTTCCCTGTCTGTTGTCCTTCCTGGCTTGCTTGCTTGCTTGGCTCTCGCTGTTCTTGCTGGGTGACGTGTCTGACTTGCGCTGTGTGGGTTTTATGGCACAAGCGACAAGTGCGACGCACAGCAGGTGCCTTGTTGTTTGTGTGGGTTGCGGCAACAGTGCGATCGAAATGCGGTCTTTTCGCAACTGCACACCAACAACAACGAGCTACGTAGGAGCAGTCTTAACTTTCAAGGCGGACGTAACGAGGCAATGAGCGATAATTTGCAATGTTGCAACCCAAATTTCCGAACTTTGTTTGCCACAAAGAGACGATGAGGCAGGGCGCTTGGGTGCGGGATGCGCGCACAGCGCTGCTGCTGGTGCTAGTGGTGATGTGTTTCCTCGTCGCCATCGACCACAAGAACGTAAGGAAGAGGGAGAGAAGAGGGAGAGAGAGTGGAGAGCCTGCGGGTCGTTGTCTTTGTCAGTGATGGCGTGAGGTGTTGTTGGTTCGTTGGTTTGGAGGGGGGGGGGCAGCGGCTTTCTTGTGACTTGTCGTCGTCATTGTTTTGCTGTTGTTGACAGTTGGTTGCGGCTCTGCAATTCGGGTCGTCTGACTGTCGGCGTGCTTGCCTGTGCTTGTGCTGTTGCAGTTGGTGGTCAGGATACAGCAGCACCAGGCAGATGTGGAGCAGCTATCTTCCAAATTGAGACAGTGAGTGCGTGTGTGCGTGTGTGCGAGTGCGTTGTGCGTGTGTGTGTGCGTGTGTGAGTGTGTACGTGTGTGTGTGAGTATGTACAACTGTGGTGTAGCCCTTCGGACCAGCGTGCCATCATCTGCCGACCCATGTCCACACACGCACACACACACATATGTGCACATACGCTCGTCCACACACACGCACACGCACGCACACACACACACACACACTCACACACACACACATGCTCACACATGTCCACAAATACACATTTGCGCACACCGCGATGCAGGGAATCCATGAGACGACCTGCGGGCGCACGGAGCTTCAGCCCAAGCCAAGAAGGCATTTTCGTGGTGCGTTGAAACGCTTGCTCGTGCGTGTGCCTACGTCTGTGTTTGGGTGTTTACTTGACGTTGTCCCCTGCAGCTCAACACCACTCATTTGGCTGCAGGTTACGCCAACGTACACGCGCAAGTCGCAGCTGGTGGACCTTACGCGGTTGAAACAGGCGCTTCAGCTCGCCAGTCAAAAGGTGTGTTTGCTTGTGCATGTGTGTGAACGTGTCTGTGTGTTTGTTTGATCATGGCTATGTGTGTGTGTGTGTGTCTGTTTGATCATGACTATGTGTGTGTGCATGTGCATGTGCGAGTGCGTGTGCTCGGCTGCTTTCATTTATCTGCGCGTGTGCCATGATTTGTGCTAGCCTGCTCACAGCCGCGCGTGCGTGCGTGTGCGCTTTTGCAGCACAACCTGTTGTGGATTGTGGTGGAGGATTCAGACACAAAGACAGACCTTGTGACACATTTCTTCGATTCCTGCGAAGTGCCCTACGTCCACCTCAACATCAAAGAAGAACATCCACCCTGTGAGTAGCGATACGCGCATGTTGCGCACGTGTGTGAGGAGGAGGTGGGGGATGCGCACGTGTCTCGTGCCTGTTCTTGGCTCGTGCCTGTCGGCTGTAACACGGGTTGCATGCTTCATTCACCGCTCGACCCACTGTCACCACACGTTGCAGACAAGTTCAAGGCGAACACGCAACGCAACTTGGGCATATCGTACATCCGGTCTATGAAGAACGTCAACTCAAACTCAAAAGTCTACTTTGCAGGTGTGTGTGTCTGTGTGTGTGTCTGTGTGTCTGTGTGTGTGTGCGTGTGTGTGTCTGTGCGTGTGCGTGTGTGTGTGTGTGTGTCTGTGTGTGTGTGTGTCTGTGTGTGTGTGTGTGTGTGTCTGGTTATGTGTCCGTTTGCCGAGCATCTTGTTCCGCTGTCGCCTACTTGTGACGTTGTGAACACGACAGCTCGCTGCTCACGGTTTGTGATGGTTCTGCTGGCAGATGATGACAACGCATATGACGTGCGATTATTTGACGAAATCGCAAAGGTGTGCGTTATGTGTCTACGTGCGCATGCTTGCGTTTGCTGACGTCAGTTTCCACTACGATCCATCGGCCTGTACTCTCTCAAAAACACACACACACACACACACACACACCCTGACACACACACAAACACACACACACACACGCACACACAAACACACACACACACACACACACACACACACACACACACCTTGACACACTTACCTGCTTGCCACCGTGCTGTTTGTTTCTGCAGGTGAAGCGGGTTGGCGTATGGCCGGTTGCGTACTCGGGCGCACGACGCGTGGAGACGCCGCTCGTCACAAACGGAACGGTGTGTTGTGATGTGCGTGCGTGATTGTGTCTGAACCTTTTCGCCTCCTTGCCTCCTTGCCACCTTGCCACCTTCAACATTCACCCTCTCCCAGCCACTCACTCTAACTGACTCTCACTGACTCTCACTGACTCTCACTGACTGCACCCTGCCCTCACCATTCACCCACTCCCCAATCACTCCGCCCTCATCTCCCTGCTCCCTGTCACCAAAGATTACGGGGTTCGCGTCGTGGGTGACGGAGGCGCGAAAGCGGTTCCCCTTTGACATGGCCGCGTTTGCCGTGTCAGTTGAGTTCTTCCTGCGCGATAAGCCGGTGCTGTTCACGCCGCTCGCAGCGAGCGGGACGGGGGAGGCAGCGTTCTTGGAGGCGACGGGGCTGGATACGAAGGACCTGGAGCCCCTTGCCGACGACTGCACCAAGGTGTACGTGTGGCACGTCAAGACATACACGCGTTCCGAGGAGCAGTACGACAAGGACTCGGCCCACATTAAATACGTCTGAGATATGGCATGTTCTCGCTCGCACGTCTTTCTTGCTTTGCTTTTCTTTGGACTAGGTTTGTGTGCGCGCGCGCGTGTGTGTGCATGCGTGTGCGTGTGCATGCGTTTGTGCACGTGTATGTGTGAGCGAGTGAAAGAGAGAAAGAGAGTGCGGCAATAAACAACCAAACACGTCAACACGCCAGGCGCGTGCTCGGCTTCTTGGCCACAACAAGCAACTGCCACAACACGCAAAAAACCAAAATGGTGGAGAAGATGAAAGGTGTGTCTGTGTGCTTGTTGGTGGTGCTGGTGGTGGTGTTGGTGTGCGCGTTGGCGGCATCGGTTGTTGTGGCAGCCCCCGTGACGGAAAGCAGCAGTAGCAGCAGTAACAGCAGTAGGAGAAGGCGCCACGCTGAAAGCTTCACGGCACAGGAGTGCGCGGCGCGCGGTGCCAAAGTGAGCAGCGACAACGCGCATTGTGTGTGCGAGACGGGGTGGACATGCGTTGGCAGTGCCTGCGAGCACGGAACAACGGATGCACAGCAGCGTGTATCTGGTTGGCTGCTACGTGCATGCACAGACTGCGTGTGCACGTCTCCTGAAGACGACCAGCGAGGCGACACCGCCGCCTCTGCGTCGTCGTCGTCGTCGTCATCGTCGTCATCATCATTCACGCGAACCGAGAACCAGCAGACGAGTCTGCAGATGAGCATGGAGGAGGTGGATCGCCTCACTGCTCCGGTGGACTGGCGCAGCGCCATGCTGCCCGTCGCCTTCCTCAAGTTCCACAAGGTGTGTGTGTGTATGTGTATGTACGCATATGTGTGTGTGTGCGTGTGTGCGTGCATGTATGTTTGAATGTGTGTATGATAATATGTGTATGTGCGCATGTGTGTGTGTGTGTGTGTGTGTGTGTGTGTGTGTGTGTGTGTGTGTGTGTGTGTAGGCAGCTTTGTGCTTCTGCTCGGCGTGCCAACTTGTCCGCCCTTCCATCTCTTCTCGTTGGCGTCTCAGGTTGGCTCGACGACGGTGTCGCTGGTGTTGGAGCGACTGGCTGAGCTCAGCGGAAAGAAGCTGTGTGGACGCGCAGAGGCCTTCTTCGACAGTCTCCCTTGCCAAGTGAGCCAATGCGATGCGCTTGCCTTTGATAGGGTCGACGCTACCACAACTACTGAGAGCGCTGACACGCATGTGTTTGACGCTGTTCTTTGCGTGGTCTCCTTGGTTCAGGTGTGGACGACACACGACACGGAGTTGGTGATGGGCGTGGGCGGGGCGCACGGTCTTCGCTTCTTTGTCGGCAGCCATGCCGTTGCCGTCACCGTCATGCGTAATCCAATTGACAGGTGTGTGCATGTGTGTGTGCATGTGCGTGTGTGTGTGCGTGCGTGCGTGTGTGCGTGCGTGTGTGTGTGTGTGTGTGCAGCTGCAAGTGTGTGTGTGTGTGTCAGTGTGTGTGTGTTCCACGTGTGTGTGTGTGTGTTCCACGTGTGTGTGTGTGCTTGTGTGTGTGTGTATTCGTGGAACTACTTCGCGAGTAGCTCTTCGCTCCGTTGTGTTTGGTGCGTGCAAGCACGCACGCATGCAGGCACGCATGCATGCAAGTAGTAACCGACCTCATGCCTCGCCATCCTCGACGACGATGCAATGCACAGGTTGATGTCGCGGTACTATTATGACAAGGTGCTGGAGGGCGACTCCACCAACACCATCCCGAGCCACAGCGAGCTCAGGCAGTGGCTCGACGACAACGAGCAGGAGAAGGTGCATGTTGTTGGGTGTGGTGGGTGTGGTGGATGTGGTGGGTGTGGTGGGTGTGGTGGATGTGGTGGATGTGGTGGATGTGGTGGGTGTGGTGGGTGTGGTGGGTGTGGTGGATGTGGTTGGATTGTTGGAGTGTGGGGAGTGTGACGGTGGTTATGCAAATGCATGACTGTGCTGCACAAGACAGACACGCGGAGTGCAATGTGCCTGCTCGCGTCGTGCTTGCATGCACAGGATCACTACACGCGCGTGTTGTCACGAGGAACCATGGACGTGGAGGATGCAAAGGAAGAACTCAAGGACATTGACGTGCGTTACATTACAACGTCATCTCGCAGCTTGTGTAGTTGTTGTTGGGTTTGTAATGTTGCGTGTCGTACTTTGGTGTTGTCTGCGACAGTTGAGTGGTTTGCTTGCGGCTCTCTTGTGTGACAACACACACACACACACACATCACTCACACATCACTCATACATCACTCACACATCACACACATACTCACATGCACGTTCTTGTAGGTCGTTGGGGTGACAGACAAGATGGATGAACTGCTGGTGCTGCTTGCCTTTCGCATGCGCGTGCCGCTCCAGCACCTCACTTACAAGCGACAGAAGGTGAGATATTGCTGCTGCTGCTTTTGTGGAGTACGCTTGGGTGCGCTTACACATGCCTGGACTGCACATATGGGAGGATGAAATGCAAAGGGAATGGCAGGGCACAACGCACTCTTCTGTGCTCCTGTGCGACCTTTGCGCGCAAATCCTGCCCCCTACCCCCGATGCCAACACGATGCATTGCACGCTTGCAGGTGGTTGAGGGACGGCCGAGGATGAACCAGCTGCCGCCAGATCTCCTTGCACTGCTGGAGCAGAGCTGTCTTCGCGATATGGAACTCTACCGCGCTGCGCAGACCATGAACAGAGCAGCAATCGACAAGGTGGCCCAATGCGATCGTCGTGCTGCCTTCCTTTGGCTTTGTTCTTGTGCTTTGGCGTGAGTGTGGAAGGGGGGATGTCGAGAGCGCCTTTTGCACAACGCGCGCACTTGCACGCTCACAACACCAATATCATTCATGCAGATACCGGAGTTTGAGAAAGCGAGAAGCGTGTTTGCGTCGCTGCAAGCGCGTGTGGATCAAAAGTGCACGTATTCTCAAACAGACTCCAAGGTGGGTTTGACGAGTGTGTGTGTTGCATAGTGTGTGTGTGTGTGTGTGTGTGTGTGTGTGTGCTTGGTGGCGAGGAGTGTACTTTTGCTGAAGTGAGCGCTCAATTGTGAGCCGTGTGAACCACTCCGACGCAGACAGTGCTCGCACTCATCTTCATCCTCATCATCATTGATGCTTGCCCTCTTGCCTGCTCGCTTTGGCAGGTGTTGACGGGTCTGGACTGTTACAAGCTTGCTTGACGACTTGGCGATGAACACATGGTTATGCATAAAACACTGACCAAGACACGAGGACAGCAGAATAGGAGAATGGTGGGCTGGTGGGCGGGTGGGAGGGGAGCAGAGCCGAGGGGGTGGAAGGGTGCAAGATCTCTAGGTCTGATGATGGCGGAAGCACGACCTCACCTCAAACAGCGCCGTTCTGCGGATAATCGTTTGATATTTACCACCATATTTCTACAAGCCCTTGAACCAAACACCAACCAAACACGATGCTGCTGGTGCGTTGTTGTGTGTTGTCTGTGGCGCTGCTGCTCGCTGTTGTGGTTGGCTACAGCAGTGGCCAAGCGGCGGCGTCTCCGTCCAAGACGGCGGTGGCATGTGCGCGCAAGGGACAGGATGGCTTTGACTGCCGCGTCGTGTCTGCAAGCGGTGGCGAGTGGACTGCACTGGCGAGCCACAACCTTCCCGCCTACAACATGACTGGGTTTGCCAAGCTGCACGTCCAGACAAAGCCATCCACCTCCGTCCAGAACGACAACCTCGCCGCTTTCTCTGCCGGTGCGCGCGTGAGTGAGTGAGTGGGTGAGTGAGTGAGTGAGTGAGTGAGTGAGTGAGTGAGTGAGTGAGTGAGTGAGTGAGTGTATGTGTCTGGCTGGCTAATCGCTGGCGGTGCTGCTGAGGCCGAGTGCTTTGTGACACCTTTCTTCGTTCCGTACTCAACTTACCCCGAATTCATCAACTTTGCAGGCTACGTGGAAGGTCTGGTTACAGCGGATATGATCTACAACACGTACCTCAACCTGGAGCCAGAGCATGACCCAAAGGTAGTGCATGCGTGTGTGTGTGTGTGTGTGCATGTGTGTGTGTGCGTGTGCGTGTGCGTGTGTGCACATGCATGTTTGCCTATGTGAGTGCGCAGAACGAGTGTCGCTCGTATCTCACCCAACGTGGCGTGTCACTATCGCTTGAGACAGGTCATGGCCTTTGTGCAGCAGAACTACAACTGGACCATGGACAAGATCAAGCACAACCCACAGGACCCGTTCTGGACACAGGTTTGTACGCGTGTGAATGTTTTCAAAGTGGGCTGATGATATACATCACTCGCTTTTGCATGCGAACGGCCTCTGCTTCCTTTCCCATTCACACACACACACACACACACACACACACACACACACACACACACACACACACACACACACACACACTCTCTCTCTCTCTCTCTCCCACTCTCTCACACACACACACACACGCACACACACACACACACACTCTCTCTCTCCCACTCTCACTCACACACACACACTCACACACTCATACACACACAAACCATCTGCTGCTTGTCATCGTACCTGTCCAGGTTGCGCTGGTGTATCAGCAGCTGAATGGGCTCGTGGCAGGCTACAACGCAGCTGGGCAGAAGAAGCTCACCTTCACCGACATGCTGCTCCTTAACCTTCGTACGTGCATGATGTGTGTGTATGGTGTTTTGTATGTGGTGGTGGTGGTGGTGGTGTGTGTGATTGAGCGGACTATTTATTCATACACTTTGCTTCGGAACGATTTCAACACACACACACACATGCACATGCACACATGCACATGCACGCAATTTCCCTTCTCTCCCTCGCTTATACTCTCCCCTCCCCTCCCCCCCTCTTGCCCCTGCAGTGGTTGATCTGCCGACGATTGAGCTTGCGTTGTATCCGGGGAAGCGGCCCAACGTGACGGCGATGACACAACAGGAATTGAAGGACTTTATGGCGGACACAACGCACTGCAGCGCCATGGTGAAGGTCACGGACGATTTATCCGATCTCATGTTCACACACACCACCTGGTGCCCTTACTCCCAAATGCTGCGCATCTTCAAGGTTCGTGACGGATGCATATGATTTTGTGTTGTGGTGTGTGTGTGTGTGTGCGTGAGTGTGTGTTGTGTTGTGATGTGTGTGTTGTGTTGTGATGTGTTGTGTTGTGTTGTGATGTGTGTGTGTTGGTGTGTGTGTGTGTGTGTTGTATGCATGTGTGTGTGTGTTGTATGCATGTGTGTGTGTTATATGCATGTGTGTGTGTGTTGTATGCATGTGTGTGTGTGTGCATGCGTGCGTGTGTGTGTCAGTATCTTTCCCCTTCTCACTCTGTCACTCTGTCACTGCCCTCACACCACCCTTGCAATCTTGCGCCCACCAGGTGTACCATCTCCCCTATTCCACCACGGCAGGCACCAAAACGAGTACAGTCATGTTTTCGGGCTACCCCGCCCTTCTGGAATCCCTCGACGACTACTACATCACATCAGAGAGGGTGGGTTGTGTTGTGCCGCGTTTTGTGTGTGTGTGTGTGTGTATGTATGTGTGTGTGTATGTGTGTGTATGTGTGTGTGTGTGTGCACCGCTATACGTTGCTGTTGCATGGTGTATATTCCCCTGCGAGTGTCACAACCACACCTCACCGCCATCCTCATCCTCACCCGTCACTTCATGGCACCCTCCTCCTCCCCCCTGCCTTCTGTTCAGATGGCGATTATGGAGACAACCAATGGCATCTTCAACAACACCCTGTATGACATGGTCAACCCAAGCACCCTTCCATACTGGTAAGCATATAATGTGTGTGTGTGTGTGTGTGTGTGCGTGTGTGGTTGTGTGTATGTGTGTATGTGTGTGTGTGTGTGGTTGTGTGTGTGTGTGTGTGTGTGTGTGTGTGTGTGTGTGTGTGTGTGTGTGTGTGTGTGTGTGTGTGTGTGTGTGTGTGTGGTTGTGCTGCCGTGTGAATCAACCACCACCACCACCACCACCACCACCTCCTCCTCCTCCAATGCACTCACATGGCTTCCGCCGCCATCACCACTGCCAACAACAGGGTGCGCGTGATTGTTGCAACGCGGATGACCAACACGGGCCGGGAGTGGCATGAGCGCTTCTACCAGTACCAGAGCGGGACGTACAACAACCAGTGGATGACAATCGACTACAAGCTCTTCGTCCCGGGCCAGCCCCTCCCACACGGCATCTTCTGGGTCTCCGAACAGGTGTGTGTGTGTGTGCGTGTGCGTGTGCGTGTGCATGTGTGTGTATATATGTGTGTGTGTGCGTGTGTGTGTGCGTGTGCGTGTTGTGTGTGCGTGTGTGTGTGTGTGTGTGTGTGCCATGGGTTCCTCCCTCGCCGTCCTACACCTCGGCTCATCATCATCATCATCATCATCATCATCACCGCATCTCTGGTGTGCATCAGATTCCTGGTGCGTATGTGCTTGAGGACAAGACAATGGATCTGCAGCGCAGCTACTGGCCAAGCTACAACGTCCCCTACTACCCATGGGTCAGCCTTTTGTCTGCCTGTGTGTGTGTGTGTCTGCCTGTGTGTGTGTGTGTGTGTGTGTGTGTGTGTGTGTGTGTGTGTGTGTGTGTGTGTGTGTCGTCATGGTTGATGTATCTTGATTTGATGTCACCCACACCTCTCTCCTTTGCCCCCAAACTTTCCCTCGCATCACATCCCCTTCTTCCCCTCCCCCTCCCAACCTCTCAGATCTACAACGTGTCCAACTATCCTGCCGCTGCACGTGCGCACGGCGACGACTACACGTACCAGCTGGCACCGCGCGCCAAGATCTTCCGCCGCGACGCCGGCGCTGTGGAGTCTGTTGACGACCTCAAGACCTTCATCAGGTGCTGTGACGTGGTGGTGACGTAATGTCGGTGATGTGGTGTCTGTGGTGGTGGTGGTGGTGGTGGTGGTGGTGGTGGTGGTGGTGGCGGCGGCGGCGATAATGTACGAGGTGACTCGCTTGCTGTGTGATGTGAACTGTGTTACTCTGTTGTCCTGTCTTGTCCCGTGCCCCTGTTCTCACTGCTCCATCCCACCATCACACCCCCCCCCGTCGTCTCAGGATGAATCACTTTGAGCAGCACGACCCGCTCGCCCCCACCGCCGACTCGGCCATCGCCGCCCGCCGCGACCTCGACCCAACCGCCCCCCGCGCGGATGGCGCCATCGACGCG